TTAAAGGTAAGTCGTTTATAATGTCATGCTGTGAGAGCCCTGCAGCTAGAAACATGCAAACACTGTGAATGAACTCCCATGAAGCCAGAGGAGGAAAATGACTGCCAGCTTACTGTTTTCTGTCATTTTCAGCTTCTTTGAAATAGCAGGCATCAAAGTGTTGTATCTCTGGGTCTCTGTTGCTTTATAATATATTTCACACTTGTATTAATTCTCTTCTTTCTTTCTTCTTTCTATGTTCTGTAGTGTGATTTTGTATATCATGCGCTAAAACCCAAGTCAATCCAATCCAAAGCAACGTCTTATAAACGTTCTTTGACCTCATCCGGTTATGTACAAACAGATTATTAGATGATTAGATCATGTTTAACTGCCCTTAAACTTATCATCTAGAAGCTTTTCATTACGCAGCACTCACAACAAAAAACTGGATATTTCTAATTATCTTCTATTTCATACTTTCTTCCCACTCATAAACTCACACAAACACACAAACACACAAATACAGTTACAGCTTAATAAGTGCATCCATGTGTTTCTGCTTCGTCAAAGCCCTCGACTCAATAACTCCTTCCGCTGTTTTATCTGTACCTCCATTACACAGTGAAAAGTTGCTGAGCATGCACACACACACACACACACACACACACACACACACACACACACACACACACACACACACACACACACACACTTTGAATCTCATTAAAATGCACACATCCAAACAGACGAACTATTGTTTCTGTTTGTGCTGCTGGTGCAACCCTGCAGCTTCACTGCAGCAGTGGGGGGTTAATTGCCGTGCCCAAGGGGCCCTCAGGGGCCAGGAAGCAGCAGAGAGTATTTCAGTCTCTTCTCACGAATGAGGAGAAAAGGCTTTTTAATGAACTGACAGCTGTAGATTCACAAAATTCATAAATTACAAATATTTGATGATTTTCTTCAGACATTTGAAGATACCCCACAGGGATTCTTTTTTAATAAACAATCAGACGATGTGCATTGACACAGTTTAAGATTGCAGTGACTAAGTGGAGGAAATACATTGGCTGCAACCAGAGACGCTTCAAAGCCATTTTTCCTTCCTTATACTGATTTTCAAATCGGACGTACGTTTTGGCTGATAGCGAGTATCCTAATGCTGCATGTAGGAGCTGCATTCAAGCATCATATTTGCAGTGTTTGGTGGATTTCTTCCTGCATTGTATGAGTCAGGTGTTTCTCCACTAGTCTATTTGTCAGTGTGCATGGCACATCTGGCAGGAAGACGGGTCACAGCGCATGCAGTCATTGACCAGCAGTGTAGTGTTAATGATAGTCGTTTGCATTAAAGAGTTTGAGCACATTTGAGCCACTGCAGATGTTTCTTTTTTTTCTAACAAACCACAAGCAGCTTTAAACATCAACTCTCACTGGATTTATTCCTCGGATAAAGTCCGCTCATGTGTAATGAACTGTGCCTGTACTTTCCCTGTGGTAAAGACTAGAGGATACTGGAGAGCTATACTACTTACCTGGTATTAATGAGAAAGTATTGCTATGCTCTTGCTCAGTACACTGAAGAAACCCCGAGCTAAAGACAAGAAACAAGCTAAGTCAAGGTAACCAGCAGCTTGTGGAGTCTCCTGATCTCATTTGTCAAGTAAAGAGTGACTCAGAGTGTGACTTTATTTCATGTCTTACCATTTAACATAATAATTAAAGCTCCTGTAAGGAAATTCTTTCAATTTATGTTGATTTTGGCGCCCCCTGTGAACAAAGTGTTACCTCTTATCTCTTTCTTAATTTTGTCATTTACATGAGGGGGATGACATGCACTAAACAGTGAGGAATCTGGAGTCTAACCTGTGATGAGGACTGGAGCCTCTGTAATGGGCATCTGCTCCAGGACTGAGCTAAACCAGGAAAGAGTCTTTGAGGATACATCTCATCCTCTTTACTTGAACTGTCAAATGCATCGCTCATCGAGAATCTTAAGATGAACAATGTTGAAAGGCTGTTTCTGTCGCATGCAATAAATCCCTTCATCCGACACCTAACCCCCCCGGCAGCCGTTTCAAACTTTAAAAGTAACTATATAAAAACCATCCATCTTTGCACTGATGTTTGAGTTTGCTTTTGTAGCTCATAAAGACTTATCAGGAATGAATTTCTGTCTGTCTCATAACCAGCTAAAAACTCGTCACAGGAGCTTTAACTTCAATGTACAAGCCTTGAAACCGATGCATTACCGTGACTGAACGCAGTTATTTCACCAGCTTGAAAACATTGAGCTTTTTCTGCTGGATTTGTTTGAAACTGACACATGATAATTGACGTGCAATCCTTTGCATCTTTGCAGCTCTAAAACAGAATACGTAGCTGGTGACAGCCTAGACATAAATGACTGCAGTGTGTGGTGAATGAACAAGTTTCATTTTTGGGGGCTGATCAAATATGACTAGTGCGCTTGTCGATCACAGATATTGAACTCTATGCAGTCCTGGAAACATTGCAGTATCAGAATCTTACATGCTCTAGCTGCAACCCCGCTGCTACTAGAGCAACGTCCGTCCCAAACCTGAACTTTGACACCTTATAAGAGACCTCAACCTGATCTGAGCGAAGTGGAAACTGATGCAGACTTCCTCATTTGAATCTATCATATTAGCAAACAATTATACATAGAAAATCACACATATACAGCCAATGAAAATTTGTCATCCCTGTTTATTTTGTCTCCTGTTTAACAACCCCTCCCTCTATGTGTGTGTGTGTGTGTGTGTGTGTGTGCGCGCATGTGTGTGTGTGCATGTGTGTGTGTGTCCTTGAAGTGGCCCATTTCTCCCCCGCTATGCTCGCATTTTTCAAGACATTTTCGTCATTTCTAAAATAAACTTTATGTCCTTCACTTTGTCTTTTCATCTCTGCTCATCCTCTCATCACAAGTGCTCGTTTTTTTTTTGGTTTTTTTTAAAGCCCCTACCTTATTAGACTCTTTAATTCCACTCTTTCTCCCGGTAGAAGTATCCCCTGTAGTCTTCTCCTCTGTTTTCTCATACTGTATACTCCTCATCCCTCTTTCTTCTCTTCTCCTCCTTCAGAAACTTTTCTTCCTCTCATCTATCCCTCCGCTCGCTTCAGCTCTCCCTAAGCTTCTGCCTCATCACCCCTCTCCCTCTTCGGCTTACTCCAACCTCTCTCCCTCTCTCTCTCTCTCTCTCTCTCCCCCCTGTCTCTCTCCCCTCTCTCTCCCTCAAGCCAGTACTCGAGAGGAATTTGTGTGTGGGTGTGGGTGTGTGTAGGTGTGTGTGTGAGTGTGTGTTCAGAGGGTATGTTTGTGCCAGCTGGAAGTCTTGGGAGGAGAGTGTGTGTGTGTGTGTGTAAAGTGAGAGAGGAGAGAGGAGATGCAGTAGAAGGGGCAGCGCAGTGTGAGCAGCATCTTATCACACACACACACACACACACACACACACACACACACACACAGAGAGAGAGAGAGAGAGAGAGAGAGAGGATGTCCACACTGAAGCCAGACTAGCAGTTCTGCCAAACACCACCAAAACACGCAAACACCCATTAATAAAGCCCTAATCTTATCCCTGTCGTGCTTAAATATCAATTTACTGCAGTGGGGACAGAGGGGAAGGTGGGGGCATGTGAACTGTGCGTGCAGGAGTGTGTGTGTGTGTGTGTGTGTGTGTGTGTGTGTTTGTGCATCTTGCAATTTGTGCAAGTCATTAAAATGCTTAACCCTTTATAGATGACGTGTTATTAGAAAGCAGTGACATACATCAGAAGAGGAACTGTCATTAAGAGCTGGAAAGATTTATTCATCTTTTCTGCTCCAAAATGGCAAAAAAAGCAGCAAATTCTTCAATTCAAAAGCTTGTAACTTTAAAATTTCAATCAAGCAAACATGGCCAACATCTCCTGGTGTTCCCTCCTTCACTGTGAGGATTTGATGCTTTCTGTCATTTTACATGGAAACTCTTCGAGACTGAACTGTTGGGAAATTTGATCCGCTTTTATTTAAACTGTCTGACTTCTTGTGATATGGTTGTTTTCTGTTCCCTGTAATGATATTTTAATCAGGTTTCGATCGTTAGTGTGTCCAAACTTTGTTTTGTTGAACACTTTGGGCTACATCTTGCATGAAATGTGCTATATTCATAAAGTTGTTTGTAATTATCATTCTAAATTCAAAACGATAAATAGATTAACCGTAAAAAAAAGAAATAAAATTTAAAAAAAGTATCAGCAGATTGATCGTTGATGATAAATAATCATGCTGGTGGCCTAGCGGTGGCAGAGGCTAAAGTCCTCTAAGGGGGTAGCCTGGGTTCGAGTCCAACCTGCGACTCCTTACATGCATGTCATCAACTCTGTCCACTGTCCTCTCAATAATAAAAGCATAAAAGCCAAAAAAATAAAAAATAAATCATTAGCTACACCCCGGCAGCCTTTCCATCCTTACAGTGCATTTAAATAAAACAGCAATAAGATTCAAAAGTTTATATTCAGCTTCAATGTAAAGGTGTTCAAATCGTCATCAGATCATCAGCGGACTTCTGTCCCTTTGTTACCACATGACTCCAGTCAGAGAAAGATAAAGTACTTGGACACGTTTGAGTGACATCAAATTCAAACTAAGTCATCTTATTAAATAATTCAGTGACTGTTTGAGGTCTCCAGAACAACCAGACTTCAGCAGACATTCAGTTTCTTACTGTGATACTCTGCAGAATCGCACTGCAGACAATCTTACTTTGTGACTTCTTCTGGGGCTTTTTGGTCAAAGTCTGGTCTTCAGCAAATGTCAGAAAATGTTCAGAAAAGTGCGGTGTTGATATTTTAGACTGGCTAACTTGGCCAGTAAAAAATATAAAGACATGGTCCTAAATGTCTGCAGGAGGAAGATGTTTCTTGCCTTTCTGACTTAGTTAAAAAAAAAAAGCATCTGTGAGTGTGTGTGTGTGTGTGTGTGTGTGTGTGTGTGTGTGTGTGTTAATCTGACTGACCTGCAGAGCGCTGTTGAGGAAGCAGCTGTTCTGTCCCGGCTCGTTGCTCAGGCCTTTGCTGGGTGCAATAGAGGTCATGGTCCTCGGGGTCACCAGCCCCTGCACCCCGCCTGCCGCTCCGCCACCTGACGCAAAGTAGTTCCTCTTCCACGACATTACTACCTGGACGCCCCCGTTTCCACGACGAGGCAGGGAAGGGGCGGGGTAGCAGACCAAACGACGGCCTCTATGTCACTCCCATGAGAGAGAACGAGGGAGAATGAGTGAAGAGCAGAGGATGGGACAGAGGGAGGAGGAGGAGGAGGAGGAGGAGGGAGGCGGCTGAGGGAGATCGAGGAGATGCGAGGTGTCTTGGATGGGGATTCGGCACCCATATAACCCTCCCCCTCTCCAGCTGTGATTCTACTTAAAAATCTGTCCTCTTGCTGGGGCCAGCGGTTGGCTATTTGTTTGTCTTTTTTTAGCTCCTTGGATTTAGTTTGAAGTAGTTAAGGACATGTGAGCGTGTCCAAAGCGTCCTTTGGCATCCTCTGTCAAATAAATGTTGATTAAGAAGCCCTGCGTCTTTCATGTGGGGACCTCTTCAATGCTTTCTGCTGCTGTTTCACTTTGCCTGGAAGACACAAAAAGACACCTGTTAGGACAGCTGGAAACAACGACATTTAGCACGGATACACAAACACCACAGTGGGATTAAAAAACCTTTAAAAAATATGTTTTTGAGGCATTTCACTAAATTCTTTTGTTGGCACTGCATGTTTTAAAAAGCTGTTTTGCTTGGTTTAAAATCAGTGGTCACGACTCAAAAAGTTGTTTGAACCCTGATCTGTTGAAAGTGAGCTGGGCCACAAACTGGTAGCTAGCTAACTTCAGGGGTTTTTGACCTAACCTTAGCTAGTCAAGCTTAAAAAAAAAGTTGGTAATTTTAACACAGGTTTAGCAGACAACGATATTATTAACACTTTCTTTAACTCTATCTTCCTGCTATACTTTATTATTACTCATTACACCTGCATTAATCAAACATTCCAGTATGTAATGTGTCAAAATAAGCTAAGTTAGCGACTTCATTCGAAACTTTGTGTTGCTGTCAAGCCTTTTAGCACTTTGTTTTGGTTTTATTACACATTACTTGACACAAACAAGCTCTGAAAAATGTATCCAGGCCATAAAATGCAAACGAGTATGAGCCAGAAGACAGACGCAGTTAGCGACTAGCTGGTGAGAGCGTTAAATATTTAACTGCTAAACAACCAGATTTTTTTTTTAATGAGGTAGGGAGTAGGGACCGAAACATGCTGAAAGTATAGACTCGACTTTTTAGTGAGAAGGAAACGCATAAAGAAGCAAATAAAACATTTTCAACCTCTCATCTTAATTTGAAAACATTTTTTTGCTAACACATTAGCATTAACAAATACTGAAGCTAACAAAGTGGTCATGCCTTTGCCAGCTACTTGTGATGTTTCTCTGCCCCCTAATGATCATATATCAACAAATATATATATATATATACTGTATGTATCATCTTATTTCATCAATCATGAATCAATGAATCATGGAAATCATCACATGAACATGTTAGTCTGTGATATGACACCGGGACTGCTTGGAGAAATCAGTTATGTCATGACATAATCGGTACTTAGGCACATTATCTAGAGCTTAAGCTGGTTCAAGCATGGCTATGCAAAGCTTCCGATTGAGTGTGTGTGTGTGTGTGTGTGTGTGTGTGTGAGGGAGAGAGGGAGAAAAAGAGAGGCAGTGTGTGTTTATTACCCTACTGTAATTTTTGAGTGGGTGTGTGTACATGAAGTTGCGTAACACCACAGGGCAGGAGCAAACAGATCCGCAGTGCCCCCCCCCCCCCCCCCCTCCCCTTCTCCACTCTGCCCTCCCTCTCTTCCCCTATAGCTTCCCCACTTTTTGGCAAGGCTCCCTCGCCCCGGTTGCCGGCTTGCGTTGTCACCACAGCATCCCTGATGGCAAAAGGCCAGAGGGCGCGGGGGATGCTGCGGCGAGCAAGTGCATAGCGTGGGCTGTCGCTATGGCGATGGCCACACTGGGGTGACGAGGGCTCGGGATGGAGGTAGGGGCAATGTCGTGACAGGGATGGCAAATAAAAAATAAAAAATGCATCAGAGCAGATACTGTGAGAAAAATTATGCAATATTTTAACATGAGTTCATCCACTTTTCACAGTCAGACTGCACCCTGATAAAATCCAACACCTACCTACCTGTCTGTCTGTCTGTCTGTCTGTCTGTCTGTCTGTCTGTCTATCTGTCAATCTATCTATCCATCTATCTGCATGAAAAACTCAGAGATTCATATCCTGCATATTCATCCATAAACAAACAAATCCAAATTGCCAGAGGATTTATAAAGGGATTTGGCAAGCATGCCCATGTGCCTTTTTTTCCACAGCCCAGCATCCTGAGCTTCTGTCTCAGCATACAGTGTGTGTGTGTATGTGTGTGTGTGTGTGTTTGTCTCCCGCTGAGCCTGTGTGAAGTGTGTGATCACACATCCTCTCTCTGACTTGCTCCCTACAGCCACACACACAACCGAGATCGCTCCGGCAAACTGTCGCCCAGCGCTGTTTTTTGAGGCCTGTACATGAACGTGTGTTTGCTTATGTGTGTGTGTGTGTGTGTGTGTGTGTGTTTGTATGTGTGTCTGTGTGTGTCCCCACATCTTCGGCTAGTTACCATGGAAATAGGCCAAGCGGCAGGCACGCGGGGGAAAAGCCGACCATGTGATTTAACTGAGAGACACACTGTGCTGCACTGGTTGAAACGGCACACACACACACACACACACACACACACAGCGACAGACGCGGCTGGCGAGTGATGATGATGTGTATTGATGGTCGAGAGTTCCTGGAAGCCAGAGTGAGTCAAGGCCCGAGTCAATCAAACTCTCTGACCCTGGCAGGCATAAGGAAAGCAGGAGCTGCAGTCGCGGTCCAGACAGAGACCACACATGAAAGTCTTTTAACCCCGTGAGATGTTGAGGTGAGGACGCTGGTTTGACATCCAGACCGACACGAAGCACTTCAGTGTGTGTGTGTGTGTGTGTGTGTGTGTGTGTGTGTGTGTGTGTGTGTGTGTGTGTGTGTGTGTGTGTGTGTGTGTGTGTGTGTGTGTGTGTGTGTGTGTGTGTGTGTGTGTTTGAAAGAAACTGTCTGAGTGAGTATCTTCAAACAAGTGGAAATGAGTCCCAGCTTAACTCTTACTATGGGAAAGTTGTTGCAAAGCTCAGCATGTATGGTGCAGGTTTACACACACACACATCATCACATTATCTTTAATAGCAGTCACTTCACTTTACATAACAAACAAGTTGTTTGTTTGGTTTAGCGTTTCTTTATTCAGACTTTTATATGAATTTATATGAATGTATATTGCTTTGGCTTCATTTTTTTTGGTTTAATCAACTTGCATCAACTCAAATCTTTTTTTTCTTTCTTTTGAGTTACCTGGCTGCTTCCTGCTCTCCTTCCTGGTTTGGACAAAAGATGAGGATGAGGGGGGCGGAGCCTGGCTTTCTGATGAAGGATTGTACTAAGTGCTCAGACAGGACGGGGGGGGGGGGGGGGATCAGGGTAACTTAATGTTAAATTATAGTTATTCTGTAGGTATTCCTCCCTGTGTGCTCTTCTTGGTTTGGTCGGTTGATTTAAATCTCCCTCTCAATTCTCACTCTGTGAAGTCTGTTAGCTGGGTCTACATCTGATTCTGCTAGTGTTTTTTTTTTTGTTTTGTTTTTGTTTAGATTAATGTTTACCTCTTTTACTCATTTGGATAATTTGATTTAGTTGTTTGCTTTTTTTTCAAACATATTTTTTTTAAAAAGGTAAATGGATTTGAGCTTGTGTAGTCTTCTAACTGCTTTAAAAAAAGCTTTTTACACCGCTGGTCACAACCTACATATTCACACACTGATGGCAGAGGCTGCTCTGTAAAGTGTCCAACAGTGTTATAACTAATACTATAACATCACTATGCTGCCAGCGGTAGAAGCAGGAGCATCTTGGGGTTAGGTGTCTCGACCAAGACACATCAAACATGTGTCTGAAGGAGCTGTGGATGTAACCCCAAACCACCTGCTTGAGAGACGACCGACTCTACCACTGAGCCACAATCACACCTCTTTGTCAGGTCTGTTAACTTTATGTACTTTTTCCTTGACTGTTTGGTCCAATACAGGGCTGTTAAAGCAATTATGTAAACACCAAAGATGGCTGATGGGGAATCTTCTGAACTGGCTTTAAGGTGAGTGTAATGACCAATAGCAGTGGTTCACATCACCTGTAAGTGTTAAGCGTTGGCAACTCACGTAATTCCAAACATGTCTGTCTTTTATGTTCAACTAAAAGTCATTTATATTGGATGTAGGAACCAGCTAACTAGCCTAGCATCATGTCAGAACTTCACACGTTCAGTTTCTCTGATTGGTTGTGGCGTCCAGAGGCGTCTTTATCTGCTGTCAATTATTTAACTGAACATCAGGAGAACGGTCTAAAAAAAAATTCACATTCATGAAATGTTCTTACGTCAGACAGGTATGAGTTGTTTCTTGTTATTGATCTTAAAGGGGTTTCGTTCTTTTGTAGTTCCTTGTAGTGTGTGTGTGAGTGTGTGTGACAGCAGATGATTACATGTGGATCAATAAGAGTCAATGAGGTCACAGCTGGGAGCTTGGAGGACAAACAGCTGTTTTCATGGTTGCTATTACCACTACTTCCTTTCTTACAGTTCAGCTCAGGACATAATGTGAAGAATTTGTCACTGTCTTAAAAAATAATACCACCACGCATGTGCAAAAAGCATTCTCACTACAGTGTCTATTCAGCGGTTGATGTTGTGCTTGCATCACATGGTCTCCCTCTGCAGGCCAAGTTTCCAAGTTGTCATTAAATTTAATATGTTATAATCAAAAGCACAATAACTGTTTTTAGATTGCTTTCCTGGAATTTCCTCTTTGGAAATAAAAAAAAAAAAGCCATAGGTCAGACCATCAAAATCCAATCAGCCTGAAAGTAGTGGAAAGTACTGTGTGTAAGGGTGGGACCAAATCTGAATATTGGCAATATATCATCGCTCTGAATTGTTTGATACAATTATCGAATTGCTGATGCCAAATATTGTCTTTTAAATTTCAAAAATAACACACAACTCTCAAAACAAAACTCTGCCAATTTGACTCATCACACTACTTCCTGAGTCATCACGTTGGTTTGTGTCTGGCATGGATGATGTTGACGTGATTGGATGTTATTTGCCTAAAGAAGCAGAAGACAGCGGGGTGGAAGGAGAAGAAGAAGAAGAAAAAGAAGAAAAAAGGGGGAAAATGTCGGACAGTGGTGGAAGAATGTGCGACATTTTTCACATAAATACAGCAGAAATGAAGTATGTCCTCTGAGTCATGACTGTCTACAATGAGTGAGACGCGTGAGTCCCGCCAGCTGTGTTGTTGTCAGCACCGTGTTTACATCATGTTTACGTGGACGGGACGGCCTTGTGTATAAAGCTGTTTTATTAAACGACTAGAGAAAAGATGAATAAAATACTCTCTGCTCATTTGGATATCACATAAGTGTGTTTAGATCTCCGTCATTCTGTGTCAATTTACGTGCATTATGAAGTTATGATCATTAGCATGCTAACACAACAATGCAGGACTCAGGTAATTGCAGCTCAAGCAAAGGACAATTTTTTACAGTAACATGCGCTTAATGGTGCTTAATTACGGTGCTTTCTAGATGATACCTCCCTTGTGCGAACGCGAGTGGAGGGGGGAGGTCGGAGGCGTGCCGCTGTAGGAGAGCGGGGGCTTCAGAATGGAGGAGGTGTCACCGAACAGCACTTTGTTTTGGTTAAGTGCTGGCGCTCAAAGGCGACAACTACTGGATCAAAAAGTCACACATTCTTCCTTCAAGGAATGAAACGTTAAAAGAGGTTAAAATGACAACAAAGTGCAGTGACATATATATTAACCCTGCACTTTACCTTTTAGGGGCATTTTATATTCTCTGATACCGTGATGTATCATTGAACAACTGTCTTACATTCTTTATTGGCCCTATGTGTTAAAACATCGAAAACATGAACTCCAAGAAAAGGTCATATATTTTCTGTTTTCATCTTCACACTTTTTTAATGTCCAAAACAGCACCATCAATGTAAACAATCGGCGTCTTACTAGTTCCTAGTTAGTCTCGTTTGCTCTTTTGTTCTCCGTTGTATGAGTCAATTTATCCCTTTCAGCTTAGGGGAAAACATTTCAACTGTCAAAAAGCTGGCCTGAGTGTTTGAAGGAGGCTAAAACGTGGTGAATGACAGTATGACTGTCTGCTGTGGGTCAGTGTGGCTCGGTGACAGTGACACCGGTGTCATGCAAGCTGAACAAAGAGCTGATACTGTCCCCGAGGATAATAGCCTGTCTCTCACTCTGCCTCCCTCCCACTCCAGCAAATATAAAGCCGAGAAGTATATTTATATATATCCCTGTGACGGAGAGAGAAAGTCTGGAGCTGTTCTTTCACTGCGTGCTCTCTGTTTCCGTCTCCTTTGGCTGCACAGTCTCTCTCTCTCTCTCTCTCTCTCTCCCATTCACTTCATTCCTGATCTCTCTCTGTCATTCACTCTCTTCCACTGACCTCTATTTTCCATTCTCATTCACTCTCTCCACTTCTTCCCCCATTCATCTCTGTCTAGTTCTTCTCTGTTTCCAAAAAAACTTCACTTCAAATACATGTGTTTTCTCTCTCTCTCTCTCTCTCTCTCTCTCTCTCTCAAACACATGCAGTGGTTTCCCTGTAACTGGGTTATGTGTAACTTCAAATAGCCTTAGTCGACAATAGGGAGAGCCCAGAGTTCATCCTCCCCTCAGAGCTTCTCCTTCTCCTCCTTTTTCCCCACATTGAGTCCGGAGAGGAGGTATACGTGTGTAAACGGTAAATGGACTTGGGCTTATAGAGCGCTTTTCTAGTCTTCTGACAACTCAAAGCGCCTTTTACACCGCATGTCACACCTATACCCATTCACAAAGGTTGCTATGCAGTGAGGCCATCAGAAGTAACTAATCCCATTCATACACATGCAGACGCCGCCGACGGAGCAGCGGGAGCTATTCGGGGGTTAAGCGTCTCGCCCAAGAACACATCGGACATGTTGCTGCAGGAGCTGGGGATCAAACCTTTGACCTTCCAGTTGAGAGGCAGCTCTACCAACTGACCCACAGCCACCCCAGGCTGTGTGTCTGCAGGTGTGTGTGTGTTAACATATAGTGGGCACACGTGCAGCTGCATGTGTGAGCATATTAGCGAGACTGAGGTTCTTTTTTTTTTTTTTTGTGTGTGAGCTTCAAGGTCATTTTCCCGCTCAGGCTCTGTGACATTAAAGTATACATGGGAAAACACTAACAGACATGTAATCGCATGGATGCACATTAAGCACACACGTACACACATGCACATGCACGTGCACACCATAACCTAGATGCAACCCATTATCAGCATGACACATGTGCACAGCCAATCCTATTAGTGAGAAATATAAAGAGGGGTGAATATTTGCTTAATATTTAGGCTATTACATAACCAGCCTTATTTACAACGCATGCTGGGAATAATGTGAGGTTTTTACAGTTTATGTCGGAGAGGAGAGGAGAGGAGAGAATAAAGACACAAGGAAAAGGGAAAGGAAAGAGGAAAAGAGCTGAAGGGGGAAAGAAAAGATTGGAGAAGAAGGGAGGAAAGGGAAATATTGGGAAAGGAGGAGGAGATAGGAAAGAAACAGGTAGGAAAGACAAAGAGTGCGAAAAATAAACAGAAAAATAAGTAAAAGAGAACAAAGGAAAGGAAGGGTTGGTAAAGTTAAAGGGAGGTGTGAGGAGAAGGTGGAGAAGGAATAGTGGGAGGAAATAATAGAGGTGAAGAGAAGAAAAATGCAGGAAGGGAGAGGGAAAGAAGAGAGGGTAGAGGAGTGGAGTGACGAGGAGGGAAGAAGACAAGAAGGAAAGGGAAGTAACACGGGACATGTGAGGAAAGGAGACAAGACGAGGTGAGAGCGAAAGAAAGGTTGGAAAGGGGTTGGCAAGAAGAAATTGTGAGAAACAGAAAGTAAGAAAGAAAGAAGAGGAAAAAAGGCACAGCATAGGAGTGGAAATTGAAGTAGAGGAACAAAGGGAAAATCTGAGAACAGAGGAGTTTGAAAGAAAGAAGAGGAAAAAAGGCACAGCATAGGAGTGGAAATTGAAGTAGAGGAACAAAGGGAAAATCTGAGAACAGAGGAGTTTGAAAGGAGGCAAATAAGGAAAGATGAAGACAGGAGGGAGACGGTATTATCTTGAAACAACCCTGGGAACCGCCCGAGACACAACCTGGGATTCTTCACGCATGACCACGTCTGCAAAAGAAATACTCCCGAGGATCATAAGCAATGAAGTGAATTTAAGTGGAGTTTAGCAGCAGACTTATTATTTCACCGCACGATGGTGTGTCTGCAAAATGTGTAATAGTCAGTGAGACCTGGAATTTGCTCTCAAACACATTTCCCCACGCATGCAAGATCATTTGCTGGATTTTCAGCAAACGACTGAGAAATACAAGAAAAAAGGCTTTTCTTTTTTAATCCTGTTGATTCCAAGAAATCACATAATCATAGAGCTGAGAAAAAAAAAACTAAAAGTTTTAGTCCTGAGTATCCCCCGCTCTGAGAATGCTCTTTGTCAAATGTCAAGTTTCCTGATAGTCAAGCAAGAGGTACAATTTCAAATAAACCTTCCTGATTGGTCAGATTTAACGCTCTGGGAAGGAGGATCTTTTTTTCATGTAAAGTAAGTCTTATTGGGGTTAAAGTCAAACTTTTTGTCGAGATAAAAGAAGTGAGTTTTCCTGCCAAGGGGCTAAAAGCTTGTTAAACAAGGCTACAGAACCAAAGCTCCACTGATGGCTCATAAAATATGGAAGCAGTCATATATAAGGACATGTCATATTAAATAAAGTACACATTTGGCCATTTCAGCTGCTTTTTTTTTTTAATCTAATAAAAGGTCAGAGTGAGTGGGAGTTGTGGATAAGTACACACATTGATGACAACATTAACCGAAACATGAAAACAACAAAAAGAGAAGTAGACAACAAAACCAAAAGCACAAACTTGCAGAGTGTTTTATCTCCCAGAAACTGAAATTGATGATAAATCCAGTTTAAATGTCAAGGCGACATTTCAGCTCAGTGTGTGTGTGTGTGTGTGTGTGTGTGTGTGTGTGTGTGTGTGTGTGTGTGTGTGTGTGTGTGTGTGTATTCCTGTGGGGATATTAACCTGTGCTGCAACACCATGTGAGGAATACAACGATACTATACAAGGCTCAAATGTGATTTTAGGGGTAGTCTATGGTCTCATGTTTGGCGAGGTTAAGGTTAAGTCATGATTTATGTTAGTCTGGAATGACTTTTGATGCAATGTCCTCACAAGTATAGTGAAAACAAAAGTGTGCAGCTGCTTAACGAGGGGATGGCAAGTACCCTATTTTCCCTTTTTTATAAGTATTCACGTGTGAGCGCGCGCGTGAGGCAGCCAGGCAGGCAGGCAGGCAGGCAGCAGAGGGGCCGTGTCACCCCCCCCCCCCCCCCCCTCGCAGATGTGACGGCACTGTAGACTGGCGGTGAAGCGGGGCCCGGTGAGGGGCCAAAGTCATCAATCACGCGGATCGAAACCGCAACGTTAAATCAATAGCCCCCCTCCCCCCCTCCCCCCCCCCGGGGAGCGATGACAGCGGCGCGTGAATCCGCCTTGGTAAAAAGGCTGCGGTCTCTTTGATCATCCATCAACAAGTCCACGCAGGGTACAGTACACCAACAAGAAGCACAGTAGTGGCATGTGAACCTGAACTATAACACCTGTAACTACAAACAACGAGCCCGGACTGGGATGAAACAAGAACTTGAAGTGGGGAGGGGGGGGATGCTGATGTCTGTCAAAGCAGCAACCGGTGAACAGCACGAGGGAGAGTTGCTGCGTAGTGGGACACGAGACCTCCTGATAAAACACTGAAACTGAGGAAGAGAGCGCAACAGAGTGAAAAAGACCACGAACAAGGAACAAAACGCTGCACGTGCTGCTGATGAGAGTGATGGAGAGACGACGAGAGGAAGGTGACAGCTCTCTCCCGAAGACTGTCCACGAGAACACATCTGTTGAGGTCCACATCTGGCCGACATGCTGACTTGCCCCCACTTCCACAAAAACACACACACACACACGCAGTCTCTCTCTCTCACACACACACACACACACACACACACACACACACACACAAACACCTACTGATAGTGTATCACATGCGCGCGTCTCTACAGCTGTGATGGAGCCCCATGTCAGTGCGTAGAGTGTGTGCAGGTTTTTTTTTGTTTTACTCACCCCGGGTGCTGTCACCGCCAGTCTCCGTCCGCTCGCGTGTCCTACCGTGTGATTTAACGGGAGAGAGAGAGAAAGAGAGAGAGAGAGAGAGAGAGAGGGCGAGCCGTGGGCGCATCCAGCCCCCACCAGCGCCATCCAGCGCTGCGGTCGCGGCACGCCGTTCTCGCGATACCGTTGCCATCTTCCAAGTTCTCCGACGGAGAGAGTGTGTGACGTAGCGCTTTTACGGAGAGGGCTTTGCTCAGCACGATGCCGCCGCCTTCTGGGCGCGAGGCGAAAGGATGTGGATGATGTCACCTCGTAGCTGGTTATGTGGCCCCTTCACATGTTCTCTCTTTGTCTCTTTCTGTCTCTGCTGCTCTCCACTGTCACTAACATGTAAAGGACATCTGTTTAGCTGCTGTCACTGGAGTCCTGCCAGCACCAAGTTTACAATCACAGCCTGGACACACAGCTATTCATAGTGCAGGTCATGGGGACACTGTTTAGTCTGGAAATGGTTTTTAAGACCACAGCTGAGATAAAGTGAGCATTAGAAGGTAAAAGGACAAAAAGAGTTATAAAACAGAGCAGCAAAGAGGGCTTTTACAAAACATTTACAGAAATTAAATGGGCTACCCTTTTGCAATCTCTACCTTGGAGTGGAGAAAGATGATTAAATTGATATCAAATGCACTGGGTAGGCCTGGGCTACATGTGAAGCTGCAGCCACAGTTGGTTAGTTTAGTTAAGCTAAGCTCAGACGCTGGGCTGGGCAAAAGTATGGAAGCCCATTTCCGCCAGTTAAAAAAATAAAAATGAAAATAATAAAGTCATAATAATGAAAATAATAAAGTCAAAATTATGAAATATAAAGTCGAAATTACAAGATATAAAGTCGAAACTATGAAATATAAAGTCGAAATAATGAGATAAAAAGTCAAAATTATGAAATATAAAGTCGAAATTACGAGATATAAAGTCAAAATTATGAATATAAAGTCGAAATTACGAGATATAAAGTCGAAATTACAAGATATAAAGTCGAAATTATGAGATACATGGGTAGAGCGTGGCTTAGGGGAGACTCTTCCTTTTCAGATTCTTACTCTGCTTGTTTGGGTGCTGTTGGTTTCTGTGTACCTCTTGAGTAGAACATACCATGTGTTGTTCTTTTTTAAACTAGCTCTGCTTGACAAACACATGCAGTGTTAACACAGGAAGCACAGACAGTCTGTAAAGGGGAAATTTATTGAATAAATACACAGTTTCAAGAGTGCAGAGTGCGTGTCTGTATTTTTCACACAGGTCTCATAAGCTCAGAGTTTGTAAAATCATAGTAAGACTCAATCATGGTTAGGGAGAAAAAGATGAAAAGCACAGAGGAGACCAGGGGAGATACTTATTAAATAATTTCATTTCATATTGAAATAATTTTCATACATTTCTTTCAGAGGTAATTCAAACACATTTCCATATATGCTCATGGGAGTCTCAGCAGTCCTGACAGTGTCTGAGTATTTGGCGTCTGTCAGTAAGTTATGATCTGTATCTATTGCTCTCATGCATCGGTTCAGTTGAGGTAATAGGTGTGTTTTATGAGTTTCAGAGTGTGTGTTCATGTACTGTAAATACACTTGTGTGTTCATGCGTGTTCACAGGTCATCTGTTTCTCCGTCGAAGGGCATGTTATCCAGGTCCATGTGGATGTTTGAGTTGTCCTCGCTGCAGATCCAACCGATGGGCGTGCGGTTGAATGAGGGGCGTGAGCGCATGTCGGCCTGCAGACTGGGCAAAGGCTCGGCCTCCTCGTTGGCCATGTTGACCTGTGGGAGTTCAAAGGTCAGTGTCTTGGCCCCCTTGTCAATTCCGCCGAAAGGCAATGCCGTCCTGGAGGAAAGAAAATAGAAAGAAATAGGCAGCTGAGGAGAGACGAGGTAACAACATGAGGGAGATCTCGTATCCTGTAAAAACAAAAATCTAGCTCAAACACTTTTATAAAATAAAAACATTGCACCCCGATGTCAAGGACCTCAAACCAGCAACATTAACATTTCTTAAGTGAAATTCATTTGAGTCATTACAACAACAAAAAAAAGAGGCAAATCAACTTCAAAGATACACAAAAGAACTCCAGGGAAATAGAAAACTATCAAAGGAGACGGAAAACATCTTGAACCCATTACTGGATTTCTTATGACTTGTGGGATTCTCTTTGGAGACTTTTTTCATATTTGTACATAGGAGCTTGTTGTCTTCTAATCCGTCCCTTTATGGCTGTTTATTGCTGGTTCAGAACCATTAGTAATTACCAAACATGCAGCTGCTCTTACCAGGGTACTCAGCTACCATTAGGAGTATTACAACAGACAGAGATCAAGGGTTTAAATAAGATTAATATAATTACATTTGTGACAGATGCTGTCTCAGTGGTCAGTGTAAATGGTACATTCCCAAATGTCAGACATGTGGTGCACTTTTTGAAATGTGTGCAGCTGCTGAGTGCTGCTATGGAAACACAGGTAGGAAAGCTAGACACTTTTACTGCCGATGAAACGGCTGCTGGTTGTCACGGTGACGTGAGCTGATGTAGCCAGAAATGAGCGGCAAAGGACTTCCAGCCAAGACTTCCTTCTCTGTGTGTAGCCTTTGATTACAAACCAGCTAGCAACTTGAGAAGCGACAGTAAGCTGGTGTTGACGGACGATGTCTAAAAGTGGATTGTTAGGTACACCTGCATTCAGAAATCTGTTATAGATAGAGATTAATTAAAGATGACCACTCCTGGGTTTTTGTGATTGCATTGTGGCAGATTTGGGCTTCGCCTGTTTTGCTCTCCACACAAACTTGTTTCTTGCATACAGCCAATCCCCCATTTTCTCCTCCCTGCATTTCCTGTCTCTCTTTAGCTGTCGGAAAATGGTAAAACCGCCAAAACCGCCATTCAACCTCAATGTAATGGTCTTTTTACATTATTGTCATTATACTTGCATATCAATAACTAAGATGTTGTGGTTGTGAGGTCTTACCTGTTGAAGCTCTTGTACAGAGGCAGTTCTGCATGGATCTGGATGGGTCCCGGCATGATTGACTTCATGGTGGCCGTCAGCTCCTCGTTGCCCTTCATGGCCCGTTCCCAGGGCGACACATAGGTGCGTACGTACTCCTCCTTCCTCTTCTTCTCTTCCACTGGCTCCTCCACCACTGAGGCAGACAGAACATCAGACAAAAAAACAGGGGAGGAGGAACAAGAGGAATTAATACAATATCTTAACAAAGAGAAAGCGTTTGAACTGAGGGCAACCATGACCGTCACCATACCTTCCACCTTTGGCATCTCAGGCTTTGGCGGGACGGGGGGAGGGCACATCAGCAGGTTCTCAAGGTTCTGCTGGAAGCAAAAAAGAAAACAAATCAGTACACGGACACATAGAAACAGAACATGCTCAAAACTGCTCCAGTTTTCCATTTCATGAATACCGTGTTCATGGTGGTCACGATGAACTTCTCCACCCTCTGCTGCCTCATCCTGAACATCTTGGAGCCTTTGTTCTTGAGCAGGGAGAGCTCCTCCAACATGGTGTCCTTGGGAGTCTTGATTTTGGTGCCCAGGTCAAACTCAGAGGCTTCTGGGTCTGACTCATTGTCTGACGGGGTGGGTGGGAGGGGGGGATAAGAGGAAGATATAATGACTGGGCTGAACATGAAACTGAAGGTGGTTGTAGGCAGAAATAAAGGGAGTGAGGAACAGTCATGGATTACACATGTGATGAGAAACTTACCATGATGTAGCACAAAAGCTGAAGCAGATCATCTACCATTTGGCGAGTATAAATGCTGTCTGAATGTAGCAGAGCATCACAGCCACAGTCGTTCACACCAGAGTTTATACATTTCTTTACATATTTTTTAATTAAGTTATCGCTCTGAGAAAGCAGCAGTCTGTTTACTTTTGGCATGTAGTATCTGAACAAAATGAAGGCCATAGGTCTATCATTTTATTCAGCTGATAAAATCCATATATTGGATGCATTTGACACTTTTAAAATCTCTTCTTACTCTCCCAAAATTCCTAACATTGCTCAAACTTTAGTACAATGTACACCAAATACAGGTTTATAAACACTTTCTCATGCACTAGAGAGCACTAGGCATAGAGCTGTGCTCCCCTTGGCTTTACCCATTTAGCAGATTAAAATGTGATATATGTGGGATGTGTAAGACTTTAAAAGGTGTATTTTCATCCTCTAGCTTCCATGGAACGCTTGTTTCGGTGAGTTATAGTTGAACCCAGTTGTGAAGGATGTTGTGTGAGAGAGACCAGGGGAGTTGTAGGGGTTACTGGGCCAAAGTAATACGAAAGAAAAAGGGGCGCTGGGGAGTGCCGGAGCGGGTTTTCTGCGAGAACTGTTTATGGAGGGAAATCCGTCTAACACGCTGGGACCTTCTCTCCTCTCTCGGTGATGGAGAGATCTGATGGATTTTACTGCTCCACAGAGCTCCCCATAAAACACTCCCCTCATCCACCAAATACACTCTGATATCACTCATAACACCTGGAGGCCAGCCATAACCCACACTCACACATAGACACACACACGTACGCACAAACACATCTATAAAGCTGGGAGTTGGCATTGCAATGCTGCAGAGAGCTGGTAGCAGTGTGTCGTAAATCAGACTTGGGCAAGTGGGCGTGTGTTAAGCATGTGTGTGTGAGAGAGAGAGAGAGAGAGAGAGAGAGAGAGAACGAGAGGGAGTAATTGAGGCTGCTGAGAAGAGCAAAGCCTCCCATGGGGATATTGATTAGAGTGTTAATTCAGAAGAATGTGAAACTGGAGCTGGCTGCTGACTGGGGCGAAATTGGACAGACTGACAGAGACAGAAGGTGGACAGAAGGACAACATGGAGATGGACAGAGACGCGGGACAAAAATCCGAGCGACATAGAGGAAGGGACGATGGAGAGATGAGTGGGCATTAACTGGAGCAAAAAAAAAGAAAAAAAAAAAGGGATAAGCAGGATAAGCTCCTGAATGACTGACTGAAAACAAACTGGTGGAAAGACAGAGATGTGAATGCTGAGGGAGTTGTAGCATTTAAAAAAAACACACACACACAGCAAAGACATCAACAGATTAATGACAAATGTGAGGGTTTGCACAGAGACACTCTTGCAAAGAGCACGCTCAGAGTTTGGTGGAGGATGTTTTGCGGTACTGTAAGCGTGATATACTGTGCAAGTGAAGGACAATTTTGCTGTTCATACGTTACAAAGTACATGAAGAATGACAAGAGTTTGCAGACATGCTTGCAGCTCTGCAATGGTTTTCTAGTTGCTAACATCACTATGTTAGCGTTTAAAATATTCGGCTGTTTTAGAGCACTTTTCTGGTGTTCGGACAACTCAAAGCGCTTTAACACTGCATGTTCCATTTAACACCACAATCACACACTGGTTGCAGAGGCTGCTACGTAAAGCGCCTAACCGCTGAACACTCCATTCACACATTCTCAGCAAAGCAGGAGGAGCAGATCAGTGTCTTGCCCAAGGACAATTTGACATGTGACTGCAGGAGCTGGAGATCAAACTCCCAACTTTAAGGTTGAGAAATGACGACTCTACCACTGAGCCTGTTGTAAGGTGTAGTGTATAGTAAGAATACAACTTACTATAAGGGCTTTCACACTTGCACAAAACTCCTGAAAAACTCCTGATATTTCCATTAGGAGCTGTATGTGTGAATGCAAACAGCCACATGTTTCTCCCGCCAGCCCCCTAATATTATTTCCGGGAAGACTTCAGGGGAAATCCTCCTAAAATTCTCTAGAAATGTTCTTGAGTGCATATGTGGAAAAACTTCTGTTAGATCAGTTTAGCATGTTAGCAAGTTAGCAATAGACACAAAGTACTGAGTTTAATAGGAGTGCCTTTAGTTTTGCAGGTCATGTTTTACAGGGTTATTCAGACATAAATGTTAACCCAAATTGTAGTGGATGGATGATAACTGTGACATACTGGCACTGGAAAAGGCAGAGAGGCTTTGACCCACTTGTCATTCAAAAGCTCACATGAACATGTGAGACAAATTCATTGTAATCCATTCAGCAGGCCAGCTAACGGGGCCATACCTAGAGATTTAGCATTTCTTGTTTTTTGTTTTGTTTTGTTTTTTCAGATGTATTTTGGGGCTTTCTGTGCCTTTATCGGAGAGATAGGACAGTAGATAGAATCGGAAATCAGGGAGAGAGAGAGAGTTGGGAATGACATGCAGGAAAGGAGGAAATCTAACATTATGTAAAGTGTGTTTTTGATACAGATTTGATTGCAATTTCCTGCACTATGCAAAAAAATGTATTCTGTATTTACTTCATCTAATGCAAACTTACTTAAATAGTGATTACAGTCTTGAATCTTAATTGCTCTTAGGGTTAGGGTTAGGGCTAGTACCTTAACATTTATGGTGTAGTACATAACATTACACATTCTCTTGGCCATTAACTTCAGTGTGTCTTCTGGCTTTATAAAGATTCTGCCAACGTTAGTCCATTTTTAGTCCAATAAAGTTCTGAAATTTGTAAAATATTCAGCTGCACAGCAAGACGAACAGATGGTGTGTTTTTAACACTTCTCCTTCATTAAATAAAATCTGTGGTTCACATCAAGTTAGTTTTGGGGGAAATAAAGAGGGGCTTTGGGGCTTCATAAAGCAAAGGGCACAAATAAACCTAAAGGTCTATTTCAATTAATCTTATAATCAGAGTTTAACTCATTAGATTTACGGAGTTAAATTGCATAAAAAAACAATAAATAAAATTTCCTTTTGTGGATTTAGTGTCATTTTTCAGCATTTAACAAGTTGAATTGGTTCACTTTCAGTACACACAGCCTGAAACAAATATGGTGTGAGCTGAATAACCATCTGCTATCTTGTGTGGCTGCTAATGGTGCCTGATTTGTAGCTGCTCCGCTATCTGATAACGCTCCACACTCCTCCAAGAGATGCCACATGCATGTAAGATATTGTGTTACTACTTGGAAGAAGCCTGCGTGCATGTGTGCGTGCGTGCGTGCGTGTGTGTTCTTATTAAATTGTGGGATAAGGCCACACACAGCGATTAACACCGAAGCCGTTTAATTTACTCACACATGCTGTGCAGATAACAGACACCACAGAGAGAAACTTCTAACCTGATTAAATTACTAACGGGGATAGAGGAAGGTCGTGGAGGACTGTGGATGAAGACATTGAATGCTCACAGGTGTTGTGTTAGCATGTGATCGGGGGTGCTGTTTGTATGTTTTACCGTCCTGGCTGATGTTGGACAGGTCAGTGATGATCTTGTTGGCCTTCCTCTTGTTGGAAGGTGCTGAAGTTGTGAGAGCCATGGCTGGAGGGAAGAACAGGCGAATTATAACTCATATAAATAATCACCATCATCGTGAACATTTAGCACATTTCAGACAGAGAATTGCTGCAACTTTACAAAGTATTGTCATCTCCATTAACATGACGGAGATTTTTGTGGTAGGGAGCGACCTTGACTCTGTTTGTTGTCCGAGTAGTGTCACTGACTAGGGAGCAAAAATCCTCCTAGTGCAATCTCTGAATCCATCATCCATCACTCGATGATGATTATCCTAAAACTAACCTCTGTAATGGAAAAAGGTATCTTAATGCACATGCAGCCAACAACCCATTTGTCGCCTCTTTACTCCAACTCCATCTTTACTTAAGAGACTGTAGACTATGGACATGCCTAAATCCGATATAGCTAACAGCTATTACATTTTGCCATTACTAAATGTCAATGATAGCCAATACCCCATTGGCCCAGATTGCACAGGGAAAAATATACCAATACACTACTTACAGTATAAACCTCATTCTTTAACATCTCCCATGGTCTTTACTAACTCTGTGAGTGTTGGATCAAATAGCTTAGTATAACGCCAACAGTTCCTGCTTAGAGAGGAAAGACTGCTATCAGTCATCTGTTCTGTCGCCCTCAGCCCAGCAGGTCGTTTCTCGAAGCTCATTGTTTGGTCGTTCTGCCTGTAATATTTACGTTTTTATAAATCAACCAGCCAAAGCAGGCAGCTCCTTTTTCTTAGCAGAGAGCACAGTGTTTAGCTAGTTCAAACAGATGAAAAGGTTAGCAACTAGCATGGGGCCAACGTTGTGTATTTAGAAGATAAGGAACCTTGTATCTCCTGAAAAAAAGTTTGGATGAAACCAAAAACACAGCAGCGAGAACAACAAAGTGTGATGTTGGATTAACCGGTTAGCAAGTGCCCACGATCACTATTTTTATTTGATGAACAACTTTGTGACTGTGAGAGTTTTTGTCTCTCATGAAGAATGAACAAGCTTCTAATCTAGTTTTTTGGCTATGCACAGACAACCGTTCGTTTTCCATATATTGCTTATTGGGATTTTGAAGCCTTGCCCACGATTGTCCCTAACTGTAACCACATGCTATCCTTGCCCAAGATGCAGCAACCATATACCCTTGAAAATAGTGTTTTCAGTGAACTTGTTAAATTGAACCATTTGCATGTGAGAGGCGATTCCTGGCATCAAAAGGCCTAAATAAGAAAATTCCTTATGAAGCATTAAATGCTGAAGCAACTTAAAGTTTAAAGCACTCATACCTGACCAATCTTATCATCACATTTATTTTCCAACTTGCAATTTTTGTGTAGTTTGTTAACTTAGATGTTGTTCTTTTATTTAGTTACGGGGGTTTTGAAAAAGATTACAAGCAGATGTCCAAACTGGAGAACAGCCTACGTATGACGCAGATTTGGATCCGTCCAAAACAAATGCATAAGATCAGAAAGTTAGTACAAAAACAACGTTTTTCTCGGCTTAATGTTGACAACTTTTTGGTATACATTTTGTGTCACTGCCCCCAAGTGGAGAAAAAAAAATCTTGGTCATAGAAATTATCTTTTGTCAATCCATGCAGGATTGAGACTTTTAAAGTTTGACTTCAAAACCGCCTTTTTTTTTTTTTTTAAATGTGTCCATAGGTCACTGATAAAAAGAAATATACCAGTCTTCTAACATTTTCTGAGTGTTTGACAGTAAATGGGTAGGGCCGCCTCAACTTGAGATATAAAGTGTTATGTTGTACTATCATGACAACAACAATATAATTTGTAGAATCCACTTTTCTTAAAGTGGATCTGTACTTTGGATAATGCACTTTGTTTTAAATGTGTTGTGCTATATCAGTCCCAAAATGTTTCAATGTATTTGCTCTCTCAGGGGTCTGGCAGAGAGCATGACAGAATTAGCAACAAGACACTGACAGGCAGTGAAATGTGATACAACAAAAGTGCTTTAAAATATTTCACGAGGAAGTCTAAACTGATTTCCGAGATATATTCGTGTCCGATGAACTTGCAGATCACGTCCCAAATCTACGAGCTGCAGCAGAACCAGGTCCCCTAATTAAGTTAAGCACACTTAAAACACTGTGTATAGCCCCAGCATTCCCCTGAGGACTCTAATTCCCGGTGGCAGCTCTCGTCTCTCTTGACTAAGCGCTCAGATGGGGGCCGGCTATATGTTGCTGTCTGTCGCACGGGTCGAAAGCAATTATGTAAGGCTGTAGGTGAGTCCCAGTACAAGAAGAAAAAAGCTGGAGGGCCAGTCCACTGGGAGACAGTTAATGTAATTGCTTCTCATCCGCTGTAATTGAAGCTCATTTCCTAGCCTGGGATTCAGTCCTGTACAAGCTATTTATATGAACACATGTTCTATAGCGCTGTGGTGAGTGGGACTGTCATCAGCACAAGACACACACACACACACATAGATTTGCACCTAAATTGCTTTCCTCCTGTGATTAATGTGAGTCAGCGGCTGTGGATTAAAAACTGGAGATTACAGGTGTTTTTGAATGTTCTGGGAAATGCAAGATGGAGGCTGAGCTGACGGCGACTAGAGGAGCAGCGCGAGGGCCTGGCTCCTGTTACCGGCCCTCAGAGTGAAGGGGCGCTCCTGTCCCCCATGACCAGCCTGTTTTAGCTTCAGATAAATCTCCAGGGGACAGCTGGGGAGGAAGGGCATCAGTAAGCACATTCCCCAATGCACACATACAGTACATCCATACCCACGGACTAAAAACTCCACCGCACAGGGCCACATTCCTCACCTACCACAGAGTTAGGTAAGAGCAGCTGAGAGAGAGGGAACAGTCTTCAACTAACTGGCTTATACGATTCAAAGTTGGTTCAATTGATATTTAAATTGACCCTTTTCTCATGAAATTGTGATTTCTTTCAATGTCACGGTCAAACTATATGTATTTTTAAGCCCTTTTTCATCATGTTTTAGAGTTTAAAAAAGTTAACAAACTGCAAGTTCTGTAATGAAAAGTGGAAAATCATTCATTAATTCATCTCCATACAGAGGCCTCCCAAGACAGGATCGAGAATTACTTTGCAACTTCCAGTAAGTCATCAACCTGTAATTCATGAACTTTTAAATGTGTAGGAGGGATTTCCTTCTCTGGTGTCTTACCTAAGACCCAGGTATCCACAGGAAGACACAGGTCCCAGAAGGTCCCAGAACAGGGAGATGAGTATGGATCCCAAGGTAGATTTGAGTCCCAAAGCTTGTATTGTACTGCCTGCCCTCCTCTTCGCCCCGGAGAGAGTGAAACCCTATCAGCAGGGCTGTCCCACTGCTATGGACTGGGCCCTGGTGGAGGGGTGGAGGAGGGGGAGGTGGATGAGTTGAGTAGGTTGGGGATAAAGAAGGAGGTGGGTGTGGTGTGTAAAGTTCAGACGAGAAAGAGTTTGGTCATGTTTGTTTTTTGTTTTCCATCATATTTATCAGTAAGAAAAATCCTAGAAAGGCAAGGATAAAACTTCACAACAACTGAACTTTTAGCACATCACATTAATTTGTTCTTGCTTTACATGACAGCTGCTCTCAAAAGTAATCCATTTGAATCCTCAGTTAAGAAAAACAACCAGAATTAGGTTGGCACATTATGTGAAAAAAAAAATATATATGAAATGCATAACGTTGCTCAAGATTCCTACGAAATATTGACCCTACTAAAGCAATTAATCCAGATAGCATTTTTTAAACTACTACATTGGTACCAATCTGTGAGAGAATTTTATGGCTAGTTTAAGCATCATCTGATTGACTCTAAATGATGTGAAAGGTATTAAAAGTATAGTATGAAAGCGTGGCCATTATACTCCTTGAGGGACAAAGCATTCTAGAAGATGTATCTAATTTACTGCGATAAATTCAGTACTTTCGATGTGACTATGGGAAAGCTCTTTTTTTGATGCATTGTGCCGTCCTTCCCTGAATCATCTCTCGATTTGTCACTGGAATGTCTGCTTTTTTTTTTTTTTTTTTTTTTACATCTTTCTTTATTTTACACAGAGAAAGGCAGAAGAACGGAGCCTCCAAAAAATAAAGAACTGTTCCCACAGTTTACAAATCTGTGCGCACGGTTAATAGTCTGTGCACCGTAAACTGTGCGTATGGAATCTGTGCTCACCAATACTTTATATAGTTACATTATACAACTTATAACAATGCTGAAACATTAAGAGTGGTCAGATGAAAATATTTCAATGTCTGGCCTGGCATGAAATAAATTGGATATTATATGTCCAAAATTCTACTCATCAATAAAAGTTGAGTATGCGCAAAACAAGGCCTGAAACTGTCGTACGCCACTTCCCAAGCAAAGTTTGCGATCTATCAGGACAAAACTGACAAAATGTGCACACTAGTGAACAAACACTGACACTGATGTGTCAAGTACATGGGGGCAGGGGAATTGGCAACCCAGACTGTGAGGTGGTGAATTGAAACCAGATTGAATATTGACACCTTTACTTTCACCAAATATCAACCTTTATTGATCGATTAAATTTCTGTAGTCAACTGTTTTCTACAAGTGCCTTTCAATATGAAAAGATCATTTAATTTCTTAATATAAAGTCTGACATAAGAGTCCATCAGCATTGTCTCACCTTCACTCACCCAGAGCACAGAGGACAGGACTGTATACAAACGTGATCGTTTGATGAAGAAATCCAAATGCCAAAAACCATGAAAAAAACTGAGGACTATAGTTCAAGTAGTATTTATTCATATAGTTTATCATCTTGGTATGATTTAAAACTTCATACTGGCAGCTGTTACACTGGTATCTGCATGTCAGTCATGCAAACGGCATATAATAATGCCACTAGGCATTTTTTTAATTTCTCTATTTAATTTATTATGTCTTAATCAATGTCGGCTGTAAATCTCTTTGGTTCAAATCCTGTTGTTTTTGAATGTGCTATATAATAAAAGTGACGTGAATTTTCCGCTGTGTTACTTTGAGTCGTGGTGCAGCAGTAAACAAACCCTTGTTCAGCGAACTTCGAGCAACAATGGATCTTCTGGAGAGAATTTCAGCAGAAGAGGCAAGGAACCACGGCAGCAGCTCTGTAAGGGCAGTACTTTGGAAAGCTAGCATGCTTATCAGCTAACATTAATAGTGCTAATATTCAGTTTGCAAATGTTTAAACGGTTTATAGGGTTTCATTGTCTTCATCTAAGCACAGGTTGTTAGCATGTTCAGTTTACCAACAATACTGCTAAGGCTAATGCAACCGGAAAAATGCAATGCAATACGGTAATGGGATAATTCATCACACAGAAACCATGAATGTCTGTGCACATATTCATGTGTATGAAAATTGTTTAAATAGATTTTTGGTTACGCCACTGCAGGTAATAACTGGAAATTGAGCTGCTGGAGGTACGAGATGTCAAAGTCATGCACAGAGGATCCATGATTCATCCTTTGAGACCATGGTTGCTTTTAGAAAAATGTATAAAAATCAATCTTGTAAATGTTGAGATATTTCAGTCAGGACAAAATTGACAAAGGATCAACTGAGCGATATAAAGCCATGCCAGCAGCACAGATAACAATCACTCGTGCAGTGTGGTAGTCTTGAAATTGGATGAGCCGGATGGCCTTGACACAGATGTGTGTTGAAGCTTGGCCATAAATCCATCAGAGCAGGAAACTCCCAGTTTGAAGGTTTATTACACGCTGGTTTGTCATTACAAATCACCTTCCAGTACTTTTTTCCAATCAAGCTGTGCAGATAAATTACTGTAATTTGAATAATAACAATAAAGAATCAAATGGTCTCCAAAAGAAAGAATGTGTCTCCACAAGAATGTGAGAAAGACTGTTTCTGTTCCGACCTGCCCCTAAACTCAGACCTTTGACTCCAAACACTCGTCTCCCTTGACCCAGAGAGATCAAAGAGCCTCTTTGGCAAAGCAGCAGGATGAGACAGGATGTAGGTAGCTTTTTCCCCCCTCCCACTCTCAATAACATTGTAAAAAGCCATCAGAATTAAGAGTTTAGCACAGCGCCAAATAGCTGGAGATTAACTGCTCCAAAAATAGGTAAAATGGGATATGTGTGTGTTTTCGTGTGTGCATGTGGACGACAGAGGAATAAACAGAAAAGAGGGGAGAGACCAGAATTGCAGAACTAATTTTGTAATTTGGCCAAGGAGTGAAAAACAGCCACTCCAGTCATTACTAAAAGTGCAGCCAAAGCTTTTATATGTTTCTAAAATCCTATGACCTACTTTGTTGAAAAGTGAGTTTGCTGTGCACTGGAGAGGTCGAGATTTTGGGTGTGTTTTATCTTCCACCAGCACAGCAGCTTAATTTACCAGTGGACCTGAACTGGAGTTAGCAGCTAAAGTTAGCGCCCGTCTGTCACCTGATGCCAGCCGAGGGTCAAAGGTTAGATCCCTCTCTGAAGACGTGGTTGGGTTTCACAGCTCTGAGGACTTAGCTGTCATTAAATGTCTTTAAAATGTAAGCCAACAATCATAAAACTGGAATTATTTTATATTATTAAATATCAAGCAGAAGGAAAGAAATGCATTTATTAAAGATAATCTTTTAAAAAATGCATTATTCATGTTGATAACTTAATATCCTGTGTTTAGAGTTATGTAGGAAATATATTTTATGATGTTAAAAGAAAAGAGTTTATAATGGAAAATGTGCATTTGGAAAAAGTCTTAATTATAGCTATGTTAACACTCAATCGAGTGAATTAAGGAGACCATAAACTGTACTGTAAAAGTGAAACATGCCTGGATGGCAAATCCTGCAGTGCCTCCATGTGGTGAAACAAAACATTATCCTGCTGCTATAACTATTGCCTTTGAAGGCTGGGTATTTGATCCTAAAACTGTGTAAATCCTGAGGGAACAATTAAGCTGTTAAGACTAGTCAGCAACTACCTGAAAGAGAGAAAAGAATAAAAAGTGATGGGAGGAGATGATACAGGGACTTGGTGTGGGAGCAAGTGATGACGTGGGTGACACAGGAAGAAACAGAGTGACAGCTGATGTGAGTCATGTCTATTTTTATTCAGTCTCTCAGTCTCCGTGGAAAAGAATCACAGCTAAACAGACATGTTATAGCACTCCTGTATCATATCAACGGATCAAAAAATAAATGCTATACTGTAAAAGATTTCCCTTTACAACAGCTGTTCTTCTCGACAAATGAAAAACTACAGAAAACAAAACACAAACCGCTGCATATATGCATACTAAAAAAATAACAGAAATATGAATACAATTCTAATATTTGTATATTTCTGAGGGGGGAATTGATCATATTCAAATGGCAGGACTTTTGTTGTCACACTCAGAGTGGGAAGCATATGAATCTGCAAAGTTGTACTGTGTTGTATTAACCTCAGGAATTTTAAGAATATCCAACTAAAAAGACAATTTACAGTGAAAATCAAAAATAACATCAGGCCAGATTAAATTTAAACACATTTGAAATCCATTAGCTATTGTCTGACAACAGCTAATGTTTGCATTCAGCCTCTTCCTAACTAATAAAGGGAATGCTATGAACTGGCCAATGCTAACATAAAACAAAAATAATAAAATCAAACATTTCTGATAAATTGAGACGTAGTAAAATTATAGTGATTGCCAGATTTGTTTTTGTTTATACAACATTATGACATGTAAAGGAGCCACAAGCTGGACTCGAACCCGGGCCGCCCATTTGGAGGACCATGGCCTCCGTACATGCGGCGCGACCTCTGCTAGGACATCTGCACCCCTTTATACAATTTTTAACCTGGAACACAACTGTAAAAGATAATACCGGCTTCTTTTCTCCACTTGACATCAGAGGAAAATTTAATCTGAGTGAATGTTGTGAATTAAAGCAATAGCAGGACGTTAAATTTGTTAGTCAGCATCCTTTCAAATATGATATTTCTGGATCGCAACAGGTACTACATGACGTGTACACATTGTGAGGCTACAAGTCCAACATGCATTTCTACAGCTCATAAGCTATTGTCTAAAAAAAACCTCACTTCATCAGTGCTTTACTTTTCATTGGTGACCACACCTCTTTCAACAGTCTTGTCTTCACGTCCTCGATTCTTCTTTTTTTTATGTTCATCATCAATCAGTGCATTTTTATTAATTTCCCTCAGCTGGTCCTTTCATTCTGCCATTGTAGACAATTCTTTCAACTTTTCTCAGGTGACCTCGTCGCATTTCCTAAAACACAGTTCTCCCTAAAAAATGTTTTTTTTAAATCACAAGATACTGTAAATGGGTCAAAAAGATTAAATGTTAAATTTTCTACTTGGGTGGCCATTCTAAAAGGTTTATGTGCTAAAACACGGCTGATAAAAAAGACAGCTGCAGCCCTGATTAACAATAACACAATACTAAAAACACATAGAAAACATTCCTCAGCGCTCCCACAGAGCCATGGTTTGAAATGTCCAGAACAGAGTTCAGTGTGCAGTAGATCCAGGGCGCCAGACACTAGGCTGCAGACCCAGGTTGGAAGTGCTGAACCTGGGCTTGGGGACCCTGGCCAGTTGAGTGCTGCTAGACACTGGCAGAGAGCCACCAGTGGGGCTCAGAGGACTCAGATCTGGGGCACTCTTAAACTGCCTGTTGGCCTGGGCGGTGTTGGAGAGCTGAAGGTGTGAGAAAGTAGGACACTGGACAAGATTTTGAGCATGAGCTGAGGAGAAGGAGGGAAGCTGTGGGAGTGGAGCAGTGGGGGCAGGGGGAGGTGGAGGAGACATAGGGGAGGGTGCCCACTGATGTTGGTAAGGTTGGGGTTGAGGTTGATAAGGGTGGGGTTGAGATTGGAAAGGTTGAGTTTGGTAGGCCTGATAGGGGGTTTGACCAGCTGTAGGTGGAGGAGATGTCATATCAGAGCGCCACAGAGGTTCTCCGAGTGTTGTAGCTGACCGAGGTACGATAACTTTGAGGGCTGGCCCTGTGGATGTTGGGGGAGGTGTTGAGAATCGCTTTACTTCATACACTCTTGCTGTCTTCTGAGGACCACTTGCACTTCCTTGCTGCTGCTGATAGGTGGAGGTATTCTGGGGAACCCCGCCCCCATAGCTGAACAGAGAGGAGTTGAGCTGGTAGGGCTGGTGGTTCATGATGTCCACGGATTTTGCCGCAGCTTTCTTTCCTTTGGATCCAGCTGACCCCAACTTTGCCACCTCTGCCTTCTTCTGGGCTTTCAGAGGGCAGGAGGGAGAGAGTAGGGGGTTGTAACTGATGGGAGGGGGAGCACGGATGTTTGATGAGTATTTCCAGGTGGCAGGCAGAGAAGGTGTGGGTGAGGGCTCCCTTGTGTGGGCGGGGGAGAAAGGTGCGGCAGCGACAGAGGGGGCTCGCTCTACAACATATCGATCCATCCTGTTTTGCCTACGGGCAAACAGTTGGCCTCCTTTCCCTCCCAGCTGTGGCACCTGAGGTGCCTGTGGTTTCGGAGCAACTGGAGGTGGTCTTGGTCCCTTCTGAGCTTGCAAAAAGTTGCAAGCCTCTGCACCAAGCCTCAGCCAATCCTCTTCAGGCCCTGACTCATGTCCAGTTTCCCCACTGGGTGGAGCTCCAGTTTCTGCACCTGGGGTTCTCTCAAAATGATCATCCATGTTCTGGACCATTGACATCAGGTCAGGGTTTGGATTAATATCTTTGTTCTGGACTGCACAAAACATTGGCTTCTTGTTGGCTCGACGACGGGCATCATGCAGGATGCCAGTGCGAGTGGCGGGGACAGAGATGCGCTGCTCTCGTGACTCTATTGAATCAGCTGCAGGAGCTTGCGGAGGTGATGCAGTTTCCATGACAGCATAGGAACTAGGAGTCATTACACCTGTTGTATTGACGTAGGGGTGGACAGATGGTGATGAACCAAGTTGGGCGATGGGAGGAGGAGGGGTTGGCTGGGTATGGAAAGAAGCATGAGTCAGATCAGGTGCATGTGGTGGAGAGAAGGGAGAAGCAGCTGTGTGGGTGGAAGGAGATGGGTGAGATGAATATGACATAGGAGGTTGAGGATAGAAAGGTTGAGCAGGTGGTGGATAGACGAGGGTGCTTTGAGGTGCTGAAGGAGAGAATGGAGTGGATTGGGAAGCATATACTGCAGGCTGAGGGGAAAATGTTGGTGGATTTGGTGTATGCTGGGAGAATGGCGCAGAAGACAAAGAGGAGGGAGGAGAGTTCCCAGAGGGGGGAGTGTTGCCATTCGTGTTTCTTGGGGAGATGTACAGAGAGGTGCTAGATACCGCTCTCCTTGGATCTGGCCCTGATGACTGGCGAGAAGGTTGTATGGTCATCATGGAGACTGCAGCTACTGGTTTAGTTGCCGGTTTAGGTTGGGGAGGGCGAAACATCACAGAAGTAACGTTTGCACGGGAAGATGAAGGGCCCGGGGTGAAGGGGCGTGCAGTACGGTTCAGAACACCTGGAGTAGGGCTGAAATTGGCGTTCAGGTTCAGCTCGGAGTCAGTGATAAGGCTAGTACTAAGATTAGAGTAGGATTAGGTTGAAAGGTTGCCCATTTTGACTTGGAAGGTGCGTTTGAGTTGGGGGACTCAAAACAACACTGGCACGACTAACAGCTACTGACCCCCCATTGGTCAGAGCAACAGCAGGAGGAGACATTGTTGAAGGATTGTTACTGATAGGCTGCTTTGTGAAGCTGCTCTCCAGTCTGGAGCCCTGATAGGCTAAGCTCTCCAGCGCTGATATCTCCAACCCTGGATTTTGATTGACCGGGTTCACAACTCCTGGACTACGATAGTTTGAGACGTCTAGCCCAAAGCTATGATTGGCTGTTGGCGTTGTAGGAGTAGTTGGTGTTGTTGATGGGCAAGCAGAGCTTCGCTTGTCAAGCAGATCTAGATAACCTGTATCCCACGTTGGGTCGAATGATGCTGAGAATCCTTCTTCATCTACTTCTGAACCACTTAGAACTGAACTTCCTCCTTCCTCCTCTGTCTCCCCTTCTGTATCACCTCCTCTGTCTCCCTCAACTTTGCCGAAGCAGGTCAGTGTGTATTTCTTGGCCCTCTGCCGGCGTTTCTTGAACATAAGCACCCCTTTCGAGTTGGGGTTGGGGGCATCAGTCAGCAAAGAGGCAATAGAGCGACATTTAGTACGCGCTTCTTTCACCTGTTTCTCCACCAGACTCTCCCCACGCTGCAACTCTGCAAGACAGAAAGAAGATAGAGAGAGATACTGAAATGAATGAGCTATTGGAGAGGAAACAAAGGATGGAAGTAGTAATGGAATTTGGATGAATAAATAACAAGGCAAAGGCTACATACAACGGAAACAACAGTGGGATAGCTGGGATGAGGATTACCACTGACAGACAGGAGTGTGTGATGAGGATTTACAACAAAGAATTCCTGCTGCTCTCCCGAGTTGACTCACACTCTCCAGGAAGGTTAGATCAGGGTTTATCTCCTGCACATATGCTTGTCTTTGCCTTTGTGTCTGCACTTGTGCTCACCAGCATGTGCACACAAGTGTATCTCTGCTTAGTCCAAGGCTATTTAAGACTTTTTAGTACCCTGGCTTACCTCACATGAATATCTTCACTACATAACTATTGAGTGATGCACCCTCAACTCATTCAACTTAACTGGCGTAATATACTTAAAGTTTCCCAAACAAAACAATCCCACAAACACATTAAGTGTCAGACTTTGGGATTCCAGCTGCAAAGTTTTGTGAAAAACTCCCCACGAATTGACATAAAGTGAAGAAGAATATACAGCCGTACTCTCAGCTCTTACGTATTTTGGCAGAGTGGTGCAAACTACATGCTAACACTTTCTAATTTAGAATGTTAGCATGCTAATGTTTGCTAATGAGCACTATACACAAAAAACAACTGAGATCTGAGAGAATATCAATGAAAAGTCAAATGTTGATTTTTTTTTTTTTTTTTATCAAAATAGCAAAAGTCAGGGATCACCAAAGACATGAATATGTGTTCTGAATGTAATCCCGTTTGTTCAATATTCATTGAGATAATTAAGTCAAGGCAAATTTGTGAAGTAACAGTTTTTTTCATATTATTCATTATGTACCGGTTTCATAGAAAACAATAAAGCTTAAACAAGCTGAAAAGGCACTACAGATTGTTGTTTCTTTAAAAAATTGTCCTTACTGCACAAAATGACAAATTTTGATGCAACTGCAGGTAGAGTGACTTCCTTCCGAAATTCAAGCTAAGGATCTTCAGTCACGGCCATCAAGTACTAATAATATTTGTATTGATGGGTAATTTTTTATGTTGATGAGAACGTTCAAATAAATCCATATCATATTCAAGTAATACATTGAAAAGGACGGACACATCTCATTATAAAACAGTGAAAATGAAATGTACATAGAATAGTTTGAATGTGTCTTACCTGCGTACACAGTGTTTGGGATTGTATGTCCACCTACATCTGAACCTGAAGTAGTTGTGAGGTCCCTCATGTCACAAGTATGAGTGTGTTTGTGTCCTTAAAGTCCCTCAGACCCTCCCACACACACCCAGTCCAGTTCTGCTCTGAATGGTAACTGTTTTGTGTCTGTCTTCCAGCTCTTCTCTCAGAGCACAGCCCATGTAAAGACCTTTGTCTGCGTCCAGGAACTCAAAGCTACACATGATGTCAACCGACTATTCCTGTCTATGTGACAGGCATTAAACACCTGTCCACGCTGTGTCTCAGACACAAACACACACACACACACGCACACACGCACGCACACTCACACACATACACACACAGACAAGGACGGAAGACCCCTCATAAGAGAATATTTAGACAGCAATGTCATTTGTGGTTTGTTTAAATGTCTCTGTGAGTATGTGTGTGTAAGTGTGTGTGTTAGTTTTAGTGTGTGTGTATGAGTTCATAAAGCCATTTATAGTTTAGAGGAAAGCCTGGTCATAACTCTTCACTGATGTGCTGTTCTTCGCTGATGACACTTCACACCATACAACCACTACACACACACTCACACACATAAACACACACACACATACACACACACAGCTCTCTACACAGTAACCACCCTGAATCCAAAGGCCATGCATGCTTGTGTGTGTGTGTGTTTGTGTGTGTGTGTGTGTGTGTGTGTGTGTGTGTGCGTGTGCGTGTGTGCTCGTGGGTGTGTGTTAGTAACTTGAGAAAGGGCAGGTCCCTGGACACCTCAGTCATCATTTGGTCCTATAGTAAAGCTCACACTAAGTCATTCTGGCCGTCAGTCATTCGTACCTGAGGACAGATTCTCATTAGAGCGATATTCACTGATATGAATCACAGCTCACTCAGTGCATAGCTATGTAGTTGTATCAGATGTGATCATTGTTTCTTTGAAAGTACTGAACTGCTCCATCGTTGCCTGGCAAACACCTGTTGGCAAACTGAGCGGTGTCCAAAATGGCCGTGTGGGGGGGTCTACCTTCTCTGGTCAAAACAATAACAAACCAGACTCAAAACTTAGAAGGACGACGTACTGCATACTGGCTGCTGCATTGTTGTGACAGAAGCCAGCATTTCAACATAGCATAGTCGGATCATTTTATGATTTAATTCATTAGATATCTCACATGTTGGTCCTTTAACATGATGTCTATGTCGGAAATTTTCAAAGCATTTAGTGTCATACATTTTTTTCCAATACAGCCCAACAGCAATCAATGAATCAAGTGCAATGACAAAAAAGAAGACCAAAATCAGATATCTGATTGCCATGCCTGGTTAAAAGTCTGACGATCACGTCATTCTGTCAGAAAAAAAAATATTTAAAGGCTTATCTGCCTGTGTAAGTAGCAGTATGTACCTGCCCACGTCACACTCTGCCTGTGCACTAGCTAGCAAACAAGCTAATCATTAAAGACAAGCGGAAAAAAGTAGTGTGATTAGGTTTGTGATGTGCTTCTCAGCTCTTTTTTTCCAATCATCCTGCATGGCAATTAAGGCAGTGCATCTTTTATATGCTTCGGGGATTGACTTTTACATGATTCAGGTTGGCAACCTCCGGTGTGAGGCCGCAAAATGAGCCAGTGCAAAAATCTGCAGTTCATCGGGTGTCCACTTGAGGCTGACTCCAATAGAGTCGGAAGTCACATACACACCCTTTCCAAAAATGCCAATTTTCACAGCAGAAATCTACATGTTTACAGCCTGATACAAAACTATTTTGATCTGTTTAGTTATTGTATTCAGCAATACACTTCGGCACACACTGTACGAGGGGTGAATTTGTTTACAACTCATCCCTAGCACTATGACTCAGTCTTCTTCCATTAATATTTACAGTCTATGGTTGGATACTTTCTAAAAAACTAGCTGTTATCTGCTTGTTGTCTCTAAAGCTCACTATGTATACTTTCACTTGTGTTAGACGGCAGATTATGTCGCCTTTAGACAGAACCAGGCGAGCTGTTTTCCCCTGTTCCCGCCTTTACGCTAAGCTATGCTAACTCCTCCCCATCCCCATACCTGCGTATCAACCTTACACATACAAAACCGGTATAAATCCTTTCTTCTTGTCCCCAGCGTGAAAGCAAAGAAGTGTATTATCATCCATTGGCATCAGTCTGATCACCAAAATCACTTTTTCAGTAGCAGTTTTCATTATCTTATTTTGTCTCCAAATCTTTATTTTACAACACACAATTGAACACAAACGTTTTTTTGTCATTACTTTTCAGTTTCAGTACATTAACTTGCACATTAACACATTCAGCCAAATTTACGCAACCGCACACTCATTCACCGCATGTTCAGCTGTGTCGCCTATGAGTTATATTCCGCGTCCAGTATGTCAATCAGAAGCTTTGATGCCTATAAATACAGCGAGTGAGGTAAATGCTCAGAATACTGACAGCAGAGACAGACTGCTGTTTCAGGGGACAGAAAGGGATGGGAGGGGGCGAAGGGGAATATCTCTGTGGGTATCTGGTATATCTCACCCCATCACCACCAGCCTGTTAAGGTAACTTGATGCTCCAGTTTTAGGAGATCACCACTAGAGGGTGGTCTAGCCGTTGTTTCAGATTCAAACACTACACCACAAAACTGCAGCCGATGCCTTTGGGGACACAGAAGGAGTCTTTGGAATTTAAATTAAAAAGTAAAAACATTGCGGATAAGTCTGAAATAGTTGCATCACCATCAGAAACAAGATACGTTCCTGCTTATTCATTAAGTGCTGGTCTTTAATCCTCTAACTTGATAAGCTAATGTTCAGATTCAACTGAATAAAGTTGCATCAGAAATCTAAATCGCAATTAGATACTTTTCTTTTCAGTTTTTGGGCAACAAGTAAGCCTCAAGAGAGCCTCTGTAATGCATGTAGTATCTTTGCAGAGTTATACAAAACTATTATTTTGGTTCTGGAGGAGTGGTTAGAGCATGTTTGGGCTGGGTTGTCTGTGGTGGTGCGGTCCAAAACTTTGTCTTCATAGAAGACCCTGGAGATAACTGTGGCAACATTCTGACATTGTATTTATGGAAATTATATATACATCCATGTCATGCTGTTAGGGTATGGAAGACAATAACTAGTGTTGTGATATCACTTTTATTTTCTTAACAACTGTGAAATACAGATTTAATCTCCTGCCCAAAACAAAGCGTTCAAGCATTTAACTGAAATGCAACTACACAATGACTGTGTGTCTTTTTTATTCCTGTTTATTTGTGAAATACCCTGTGATGTTTGTTTTTTTAAGGTTTATTTTGGGGTTTTTATGCCTTTATTTTATAGATAGGAAAGTGGATAGAGTCAGATATCATGGAGACAGAGAGAGTGGGGAACAACATGCGGGAAAGGAGCCACAGGTCGGACTTGAGCCCAGGCTGCCCTGCTTGGAGGTCTATGGCCTCCGTACGTGGGGCAAGCACACTAACCACTAGGCTACCGCAACCCCCCACAGTTTTTTGTATTTCAAACTGTAAATAAATATTTCTCTACGTATGTGTACTTACAGGTGTACTGAAGTTTGTAAGGAGATATATACTCACTGGCTTGCCGGGCTTTATCCTTGTAAGTGGTTGAGAGCTCATCACTGAGAGGGGTCATCTGTGGTCCCACCATCGGCACCAGATGTTTACCTGAGCCCGACATCAGAGCCTCTTTAGCCCGCTCAGGAGACACGAGAGGCGGGCAGGTCAGCCCGATGACGACCCCCGCCTCCTGGAAGCCGCTGTCCCCCTCTCCCTCCCCCTCAGCTAACCCCTGATCAGGGGTGGGTGTTAGCGAGTGAGGGGTCAGAGTGTGTGGAGTGTGTGCTGGAGTGGTCCAGTCGGTCTGGAGGGGCTGGTAGATGAGCTCTCTGCGAGGTACGCCAAGAAGAGTCTGACCATCCCACTGCCCCTGCAGGGAAACCCCGGCATCTGTGGCGCTTTCATACCTTAGAGGGAATACATAACAAACTAGGTTGATGTGTTTAATAATTCAGATGTCTAAAATTCTGAGATTGAGAGGTTGTCCCAGTGACTCAGTTGGCCTTATACTGTGTAGTGTTGACATCTTGGGAGGGAAACATTTCTGTCTCATAGTTGATGTCGTGCGACCTAGCCTGTGATTTTTTCTAAAAATGTTCTGAAACATTGCACTAGATACCCCTCTTTGAAAACTAAGAGAAATAGAAATCTGCTTCTGTACTGGAAGGTCAAATCTTAAAACCTTATCTGTTTATATATTTTTTTATTAGGATACAATAACAATATCTTTTACAAACAGTGGGGATTGTGGTTGTTAGAGGCTATACTATGTTTCTTGTTGGGCATAAACCAGGTACGTTCTATTTACTTTATGAAATCTTACAACATGTTGATATCCACAACACAATCTTTTGTTAAAGATTTGTTAAAAAGGAAAATAAACTTTTTGGGGGAGCAAAACATAGAGAACAGAAAGTGGGCTCGATGTCGCTTACCCGCTCATCTCTGACGTCTCCTCCTCTTCCTGGTTGTCATAGCGAGCAGGTGAGCGAGCGTGTGGGGGTGTGCGACGTTGGCGTCGATGTGTGTGCGACTGTGTGTCTGCGTCACTGTCTGTTTCTCCGTAGTAAGCCTTGCTGTCAGGCGGGGAAGTGATGCCGCTTGGTACCCCTGTGGGGGAGAGGATGGAGGAACGGTTGGAGGTGGGAGACAGGACCCTAGTGGAGGAGCGGGTTGATGCTGCGTGGAAACCAGAAGGAGCCCTAAAAACATACAGGTGATGACATGTTGTAAAAATGTCAAACATAAATCTGTTTGTTCTGCACTTCCTCATGTAACAAGATCAAAGAGAGTGTGTGTGTGTGTGTGTGTGTGTGAGAGTCCATATTCTGACCTTTTGACCCTCAGGTTGAGTGTAGCGCTCTGTGTATCTATGAGGCTCATGGCTTGAGCATGACTGAAATCAGCGCACATCTGGTCACTGATGGCGACCAGCTCGTCATGCTCTTTCAGTCCTGCTCTACATGCTTTGCTGCGCTTGCGTACCTGCGGAGAGGAAAGGGTTAATAACACATTGATTCTTGTAGACAGAGCACAGTAAACACTTATTTGACGTTAATAAGAATGATTTGCCCTTCATCCTTTTTAAAGTAGTTAACTTTTAGAAGAGAGGTTCTCTCCTTTCTCAAAATGAAAATACTTGAAACGATGCTTGAGATTTTGCCCTGTTACCTATGCCTATAAGGAGTTGCCAGAAGGGTTATATATCTTTGGGGAAAATCAATCATCACAAAAAAGATTAACTTCATGGAGATACTGAAGGAGTAATTATAATTATAATGATTATAATTGCATAATTCTATACAATATAGTGTATAATGTTCTCATTCTTTGCAAGCCTGGGAGTAATACAAATTCATGAGCTCATGTTCTATTTGCTCGATGCATTTTGTCCCTCTTACTTTCACACAGATCTGCATCTGATCAAATTCCACCTCAATTCTTTTTCCAAAAAAAAAAGAAGTGGAGTCTTTCTCTTAGGTACCATTCACCCCTACTAAATGTACAGAATGGTTTATTCCAACCAGATTGAAAGTGACTGACGCTGGAGCGCAATGTCATCCTCAAAGAAAGCACTATCGGTTCAAATGCAAGACAGTTGCATTTATAACATAATTGATTATTGTTTAATCAAGCTGCATTAAGGTTTTCAAACACTTCCCTGTGGTCTAAATGAAACATCTGTGCTGTGCTTTGGTCAAAATGTAACATGAATCAAGCCCAGAGGAGGTTTGTGAACTTGTATAAACCAGCTCTCTCAAAACGCTCCGTTTTGGTGTGTGTGTCTCTTTAAATGCAATGAGCCCGCCCCCCAGTGAGTTTTCCCGGCACTCCTCTGTAGCGAGAATAAAAATGGCCAACCTGCTCAAAAGTTTTGCTCTCGGCTGGGGGTGGAGTCCATGGGTGGAGATATCAGGGAAGGGGAGGGTAATGTTTTTTTTTATTTTTTTTTACCAGAATCCCACTGTGATGTCACAAGTTGAGCAGATTTGAAACGGAGCGTTTTTCTCTGTGTTGTAAGACTTATACAGACCACAAACAAATGACTGGATGGGTTTATTTCACATTTTGTGGGTCGGTAGACACTCAGGTTACCCAAATATATGTTCAAAAACACTGTTAAAGTGGAAACTGAAATAGACTGCATACTTATTGATATCTTATACATATTTTGATGTGGACAAATGCAAGTGTTTAAAAAAAATAAGAACTGCAGATGTGATTTTTTTTTTTTCCCAAATTGTCAGTATTTATAGCAAACTCTTAAAGTTAATTGGGTCATTTGAGTGACATGTGTGTGCTCATAGCAGTTTTAGATGAATTGTTTGGGTTGTGGTGGTGCGGGCCCCAATGTCATATCTTCTCTTGAGACCTAGAATCCCCTGACGCTGTCCCCGCTACAGATTGAATGTGGTGAGTCAACTCAAGTTCCCTTTGATAAAATGTTCTGTAACTCTGCCAACATTTGGAGGACCTGATGAACCGTGCTCAGCAACGGGCAACCCTTCTAATGTTAGACATCCTGGTCCCTGTTTGAGAATAACTCATGAGGTCATGCAGCTGCTCCTGGAGGTCGCTGAGATATGATGTCATAGGATCCTTCAGGAAGTATGTCGGCCGAAGGAGGGGCGTATATATGGGAAAGTATTCTTGTAAACTAGATTACTGTGTCCTCTTAAAGAAGAATCCTGGGCCTCACACAGACGCACAAACACACACATCTTATCACTGTAAAAATGTTAAGAGGGGGAAAGTGTTCCTGCACTCACTTGGACTCTTTAGAGGATGCAGTTTTTGTTTTTATCAGCAACTCTTGACCTAATAATCAGAATGTGCAAGCACAAGAACACATGCAGGACCAAACTGTCTACATCGTACTTTCCCACTCACACAAATATACACACACACACACTGCACAAGTGAGCATCATGAAAGAGGGGGTCTGAACAGCTGCATCACCAGTCTGGACGTTGGGGGATTCCTGTCATTCGCCATATGTTCCTCACAAACCCAAAATAAAACCTTACCGAAAAGCATCAACCACATTCCTAGACAGACGAAGAAAGACTGGCGCTACTTTGACGGGAAACTGAATTTAAAAAACGTACAATACTATTAAACCCCTAATTATGCATCAAGAACGTGTGCAAGTGTCTGTGTGTGTTTGTGCGCTTGTATCTTTGTGTGTGAACAAGAGGCCTTCTTTTTCCATGCTCCGCTTCCAGCTCCTCTTAAATGAGCTATTCTGATCCTGCAGTTTGTGCTCCCGTCCCAACAGGGCTTATCTGAGGTATGCCCAACAACCCACACAGGAGCAGACACACAGACAACAGGCCAAAAACACCTACACCAACAAGAGGAAGCACACACTGATCAGACTCTGATTAAAGGTGACCTTATCAGAAAATCCCGGATAAAGGAGAGGTCTTACTGCAGCCAAAATCACACCACCTCTATTTCACATCAGAGGTTATGACAGCTTCTGAGTGGCCGGCCAACTCTGTAAACGTCAGTGGTGAGCGAGGTCGCGTTCCTCCCCTCCAGAATAGATTTTCTTATTAGAGAGAACATTCTGGACTGTCAACAAATATAAACACGGACACAAAAAGCCAGCAGAGAAACCAAACAGAAAACGTGGAATATTCCTGGGATTAAAGTCGGATTATTTGGTCTAAATAAAATGTGCAATGATGACAGGTCTGAAAACAGGTTCATTATGTGTTCAAAGTCGACACATTCATGTCGACAAATGTGTGTGTGCTGTGTATCTGTCCACATAAATTCTTATAAAGTGATACAGACACTTCACACTTATATCTGCTACTGAACGATTTTCAGGATGCAGTCGTGAAACTTGAGAAAATACTATCCCCTAAACACAATCGAGCAAACCAAACAGTTTGGTTTGTGATTTAAAACACCTTGCAGTGTAATGACTGACAAATGAAAGTAAATACAAGATAAAATAGACACAGAGGCATTCTGACATACAGTAATAGATATCGAGGAGTCTTTGTGGTTGTAGCGATCCCATTTTCAGCATTTTTCCAGTGGTTAGGGTTGAGCCATTTAGGTTGAAAAGGAAGTCACCTCTCTCTTTACATCTATATGACAGTTTGGTTTTTGGACAAAACAAGAAATATAAGGACATCTTGGCTTCAAGAAAATAACATTAACACCACTTTCTGGCAATTTATAGACAAACCAACTGAACAATAATTCAAGGCAATCATTGCTAGATGACTCTATAATGAAAATAATCATAAAAGCTCTAAGTGTAAGTATACTAGGTGATACGAGAAGTATATTAAATGAGTGATATCGTTGTTCAGTGTTGTCATAACAATATAAATTGAGATAGATTAAAGAGTGCATATAAGCTATTACTCAGGTTCAACGTCATTTTTTTATACAATACCTGTTTGCAGCATGTCCCACCTGAATCCAACATTGATTTTAAATCAATGAAGCTTCATCTGACTGCATCAAAGTGGTAGGAAAGCATGGCCGTTATAGCCAGGCCTCCATCCAATAGTTGCATTGTACACATGCTGAGTGAAAGAGTTTTGCTTTTGACATATAAAGGGTTTATTGCGTTAACTTCCGACTTTCGCAGTGTGTTTATTGCAAAGGCTCATATCCTGATCATGATCAAACTGTGATTAATTGCACAACCCTAAAGTATACCCCTCTATTCTGATGATGCTGCGTACTTTTTAACAATGGCCCCTCCTACGCGACTAAAGATAGATTTTATTATGACATTCCATTTTACTTTCTCTGAATTCTTCTTGTTGGATATCTCCTCTCTTACACTGAACTAATACAAACATGCACTGCGTTGTGAAGGTCATGCACTTTTGTCGATAAAAACATCTTGAAGTATCTGTTTCTCTTTTTTTTTTGTACCTTATAATACTGTAATGTTGGATGTGATAGAAAGAGGAATTCTTGTGGTCAAAATTTCTCCAGAAACCAAGATAATGTTGATTTTTCTTTGATAAACCTTACTTATAAGCATAGATGCTAAAAGATATTCTGGTAGAGTTCCGGATTCCAAGCATTTTAACATGACTTCACTGTGAAACTAATCCATCTTCAATTCAGTAATATGCACTTAGAGGTCAGTTTTGCCTTCTAAAACTAGTGAAAGTCAAAATACTAACCTAAAGTGGATACACACAAAAAGTGTGTGAAACAAGTACATTCAGGCACCAGAGGTTTCTGCTAATAATGACTCTAATTCAATTAATCTGTTATTCAGATTTTTGTCCTCGACTGTAGGGTTTCTAACCAAAGCTCCAATTACAAATGCGGCAAACCACAAAACTGACCACCAAGGCCTCAGACCGCAATTTACAGCTGCAGTCTCTATCAAACCCATCTACTCATGTTACCACCTTGGCAGTAACTCCTCTTCTCACACACACACACACACACACACACACACACACACACACACACACAAAAGGGATCCACTATACCTTGGCCACCTGTAGAGGTTTTTGCTGCTCGGCTCCTCCCTGCAGCCTGAAGCCCCACGGAGCTCCTCCTGAGAGGCAGACCACGATCTCCTCCGCTACCATCCCAGCTCACAGCCTGCTGTGTGTAAGATGGGATTTATACGTTTCTTTGCCCTTCCTCAGTCCCTCACACTGCCAGAGTCAGTGAGTGAGGTCTCCTACTCCTCTCTGTGACCACCGAAAAAATCTCTCCACCCACAAGAAGACAGAGGGGAGGCTGGCTTTCATCTGCTCCCGCTGGAATGCTGTGTCGGAGGGTGGGCACTCAGGAGGGTGAGAAGGGGCATGAGAGTGTGTGTGTGTGTGTGTGTGTGTGTGTGTGTGTGTGTGTGTGTGTGTGTGTGTGTGTGTGTGTGTGTGTGTATGTGTTCATCCTCCCCAGTATTCAACACTTGCCATGTCACTCTCAAGCACTCTGTTCAGGAGGGGATGCTTGCTGATATACTCGCCCGAAATAACCACAACAGCCACTCCCTCTTCGACCCCCAGCTCAGTTGGCCTGGCCAGCAGCCACGGCCCACAGATTTGTCTTCAACCCCCCACCCCTTGCCCCCACCTGGGTGCACAGACGTGGGATTAAGGATGACATATTTTAGGGATTTCAGCTGGATGACTGTCTGCATAGTTTAGCAGCTTCCCAGCAAGTTCTAGATGTAGATGTTATCCTGCAGGTCTCCTAACAAATGTCATTTCCGTCCCCTTTAAATGACTTTTTTTTTGCGAAATGTAAACAAATAAATCTTTACAAATTACTTTTGACCATGAGGGTCTGATTCTTTGTTGGAAAGCCCCTCTGATAAATGCTTTCCTTCGTGGCTGAATCACATCAGCTTCAACGTCTCTGATCCTGCAGAGGAAAAGCAAAAGGATAACAGTACCCAAAATGACCAAACAGCACGATATATCTGTCCACCTTATGAAACTCATGCCAGGTTTGTGATGAACTGCTCAGTTCCATATATGGCCTCATTTTCAAGTGATCTGGGACAAAATTTGGCTCATTAACTCAATAACCTAAAAATAAACCATAGCCAATAAAAGCAGCCACATACAGGCTAAGGCTGGTTCACATTACCAATTCAGATGGCTACCCTTTGTCACATAAGTATTATTATTTGAAAAATGAACAATGCAGTATGCCCGTTAGCTAAAGCAATGGTTCTCAACCAATCAAGCCTCAGGACCAACCACCAACTCTGTCATGAAAAATTACCCAAATTATATATTTTCTTGAAATAAATGTGCAGTATGGACCTCAGACAGTACAAAACATTTGACAGAACAAAGAAACAGAACAAACAAACATATTTAAACATGTTTAAAAAGTGCTTCATAGACTTTTTGAGAGATGTTTTTCCAGGCACACATTCCCGACCCACTAGTGGTTATAATGTTTATTAACAAGTCTTGTTTTGTGTAATTAAATCAATCACATTGATAGTATTGTGCAAGTTCTATCTGTGGATATGTTGTCATGTTGCGTTCACAAAATGCACAAAATTGCATGTGTTGTTAATGCATGGTATTAGCTTACAAACACCTGAAGGCGTCCATGTTGCTTTTCAGACTTGTTGGCAACTGGTTACAGGGACGTGGTCAACCCGGGTGTGATGTCATTCCAGGCTCCAACTGCTGAGGTAAATGGAACGCACCATTTTTCATGCCATGTCGTGCCTCCTGAGAGCCATCACAACCACCACCAACAACTTCTGTCCCTACAAGGAAAACTTCTGACCTCTGAAAACTGGAAAGTGTTAATAAGAAAACGAATGAACATTTTAGGGGCAGCCTGTTCTTGATAGAAATGTTCAGGGGAGGGCTACATGTGTGAAAACAGCTAATGACTCTGATTCAGAAGGTGCTCTGCCTGCCAAACTACTTGATGACTGAAATGATCACCAACATCACCCCAAGCATTAAATTAGAATAGAATAGATGTTTATTGCCATTTGCACAGGTACAGGTACATTGGAATTCTTGTGCATTTCTCCCTGAATCAGCTTCTACAAAAAAGTTAAAATTATATATAAAATAGAATAGCATTATAAGAAAAAAAAGAAAGAGTACAAAAAAGTAAAAGTAAAAATAAATAAGTTGTAGTAACAGCTAAGTGATTTAAAATAAACTGTACAGAAGGTATACACTGTATTAATACAAAAAAATAACAAAGGGGATCACTGTACAATGAAATGAAAATATGAATATGTTTTCTTGTCTCTAACTTTCTACATCTCTTATTGCACCTGAGGTTATTACACACATTATATAATTGCACTGTTTTTAGTTTTTAAGGTTAATATTGCACACTTGTATTGCACTGTGAGGTGGTCAACTGTCCATTTAGTCTGTGAGGTGTGGGGTGAAGTACTTCCTTCCCATATTAATGTCCTGTGCTACGAGTCTCATCTTCTGTAAAAGTGAATAAATAGGCTTAATAACTTAAGATGTAGGCTATTGGTGACAGACAGGCCTATATCAAACTGGCTGATATCAGTTGACCAATAGGCTACATCTAAAATAGGCTACATGAATGTTAAAAATATGAAATGCAGCATGAAGACTGGATGCTTTCTTTTCCTTTTAAAGTAAGCTCAAAAGTTACCTCCTTACCTATAATTATCCTTTTTGTAGAAGCTGACTCTGGGAGAAACGCACAAGGATTCCAATGTACCTGTACTGTCCTGTACCTGTGCAAATGGCAATAAACATCTATTCTATTCTAAATGCTAGTGGCAGTCTGAATTTTTTTTACAAAATGGTGAACGATTAAAAGAAATTACTCGACACTTCACACACTGTACGTTCAGGTGTACTACTTTGTTCACTTCATTTGGCTGTCTACTCGCCATTATATTGTATAGTTTCTGCTTACAATATGTCTACACTCATGCACTTTAACTTATGTCAATACCGTCCATTTACAACTCTTGTTTTTGCACATTTACATTTAATCTTTCATATTTAATTTACAACCATTTACAACTCTGTTTTTGCACATTTACATTTAATCTTTCATATTTAATTTACAACCATTTACAACTCTGTTTTTGCACATTTACATTTAATCTTCCATATTGAATCTTCCTATTTAAGACTAGTAATGCTTAGTTAAATCCTGGTTGTATATATTCCCATTCTTATATTTAATATCTTTTAGTACTTATTTACTTTGTATTTAATATTATATTATGTTTAGATTTGCTAACATTGTGGGTTTTTTTTTTTTTTTTTTTACTCATATTGTGTGTTTAGATAACCTGCTGCTGGGATCAATAAAGTAATTCTATTATATTCCATGTTGTGCTCTCCCGTACAGTAGAGGAGGGAGGGGGGGAAGTCCCTCTGCGGAGTCCGGATGTGGACGTGGCACAGCGCTTCAGCAGTTCCGCTGAATGTCCGCTTCTGATACCGAGGAGGGATTAGTGAGAAACACCCCGGGACGACATCGTCTCTACAATTTGTCGGCCAGCGGGTTTCACAGTTGTTCCCCATACGGAGGATAGCCTTACTACTTAACACACTTCGACGGTAGGTTTCCATTTTAAATAGATTAGTGTGCGTTAAAGTAGCCGGCTTGACACAGGAGCTACGTTTGCTAATGCTAGGCTACTGTTAGCATCGCACTGCGAAGTAGCTGGTTAGCTCGCTTACTGTGCTAAGGTTTGCTATCCCCGGATGTAGCCGTTTGGTCACAGCTGATTCAGCCACCGCTGCTGTCATCATGAGTCAAGACACAACGTTTAAGTTTGCCAATATTACTTGGAAGGTTTGTCAAATACGGGATGTTTTGTTTACATTCGTGGCCGGGAAACGCTTGTTAGACTGCTAATGTTATTACTTTAGGATCTGTGTTGGGAAGTTTTTTTGGTCGCTACATAGCAAGTGAGCTATTGGTAATGCGGCACTGAGGTCCCCCCCCTCCCGTTAGCACCACTGCTATGCTTCCCAGCTTTTTGCGTGTTTGCTTCTTCCCTACAGTAGGATTCTTGTGTTATACCTTCATGGCATATCTTAATTCTCATAAATTCTCAAGTTTTGACTACTTTTATTGTCGTGTTGATCATGCTCCAACAGCCAGGGGCAGCATATGTGGGTCCCTCTGTAGGCCCGGCATACTGAACAAGCTCCACGGCTCCAGCGATTGTATTTCTCGTTGTGGTGCACCTGCATTGTTGAATTATTCAAAGGCACCCCCGCTCGTTTAGCCCGTGTTTGTCTTGTTAGCTGATACTCACCACTGTCTTATAGGTTAGTCCACACTCCAGGGACAAGACAAGTGCATAAACAGCATGCATCTACTGTGTTATGAAGGCTGAAGCTGACATGTGATATGAAGGAGTAATCATAGTAATACAGGTGACAGCTCAACGGTGGTACCTTCAGGTGGTCATCTTATGTCAACACTGTTATGACCACTTAACTCAAGACACCTGCAGGAATCCAGTAAACATTACACACTGTCTGCACAGTGTCAGGTATTTAATGTCACAAACGTGACCGTGAAAGTATCTATTACTTGTGGTTTGTGCCTGGGTTATGTTTTAGCTTGGTTAAAGCAACAAGGAAAGTTAAGATGTAGGGCACTACTTTTTGTCTTTGCAGTTTTGTTTACGAGAGCCGTGACTTTGTCCTTGTTGTGTGTGAACTTGATGGTTGTAAGTAGTCTGTAGGTGGGGCCAAGTAAATATAGAAAAAACAAAGACAATGAAGGTGTTGTCACTTACCCAGGACATATTAACGTCACACGAAAGTCAACATGTGACTGTGACAGTAAGAAGAACCTATACAGCGATCAGCGAAAATAGCTTTACACTTATTGAGTTTTTTTGTGCAAAGTGTGTACAAACACAGTTTTGGTCCATGTCTTCTTGGGACTGCTTTCACTTCTCTCTTGACTGTGTGTCAGTGGAGATGGTTAAGGTTGTCGTTACTGTACAAGAGCATTAAACTGAATTTCTCTCTCATAAGTTGAGAGGGTCTTGCAGATATGTCGTTTGTGGTTTTAGGATGCCATCTGTAGTCCAGTTTTCCCCTTTTAAGTATGGCATGCTGTGAAGGCAGACTATCCCTGCACTGTGAGTGGAAAGCTGTCCTCCTCCAGGCCCTCGACCTAAAACAATCACAGTACCCTTTATCCTTAATAATATCACATTCTGATAAGCTTTAACACACCGGGGGTCCTGGAAATACAAAAAAAACCCTGCTAAACAGGATCAGGGTTTTACATTTTTGTCTTTGTTTTCAATGCCTTCTGACTCTGTGAAATTGTCATCCAGTTTTAGGTATGAACTGAGGATGAATGTAAACCAGCACACTCCAATGGCCTCACCATATGGCCAGCCTCAGCCAGGCTACGGCCAGCCTGGCTACGCACCCCTGGATGGGGGATACCCTGCACCCTACGCACCCTACAATGGCCCTACTTCAGCTTACCAGCCTGGGGCTCCACCACAAGGTAAACTGCTGTCTTTGAACAAGTTTAAGAGTGAATAAAAGGGATATTCTGTCATTTTATATCTGGGCCCTATTTTTACATGTTTTTTTTTTTTCAATGCAGTAGATCACAACATCTGTAAACATGTCACAGCTGTAATGACTGCAAACTTAATTTTATGACCAGATGCACCAGTATGAAGTTTGCCCACTAACAGTGCTAAGAGGATCCCTGCAGTGCCAAACACTTTTGAAAAGATAATATGATACCAGAAAAACTACTATTTTCAAAGACACTATCAGTGCTTTCACACTTGCAGAAAACTCCTGATATTTTCAGGAGGATCTGTACGTGTGAAAGCAACCAACCAAATGTTTTGCTCAGACTTCATCCAGAGTTTCCCTGCCAGACTCCTAGTATTCTTTTTTCTGAGAATGCAGCAGGATATTATCAAGAAAATTCACCTTGAGCCAATGGGAGGGGGCGCAACGTTTATATACTGTGACTGCTGCACGGTGCATAGAGTGTATACACCACTACGACCTCTGCACGTAATTAAACAGCTGCATTATGTTTTCTGTTAGTCTGTATGTTGTTCTCCGCTCTTTTGTTGACATTTTGATTCTGTTGAACTACATTTAGCATTGAGAGGTAAATATTCTCATTATAGATCGCATAGCAGACTCGGTTGCTTCGTCTGCTCCTTCAGCGTTGTTTTTTTTACGTCACCTCTTACCTCAGGAGACCCCCGCCCCCTCCTGTTTGACAGGAGAAGTCTCTTGCTGTTAAGTGCATATGTGAACAGCCAGGTCGGGAGAATACCCGGTGCAGTCCAACTGAAATTATCAAAATAATTTCAGAAGTCTATATCTGAAAACGGCAACAATATTTTTGTGTTACTGTGTGTCACATAAACATTGTAGTGAATGCACATTAAGCATTTAAAACCCAGAAATCTCAAAATAATACAACAAACCAACTCACTGATTGAGGCAGCAGTAAACCAGCACTTCCTGCAAATTAAACGTAGACTTTTTTTTCCCCTTGGTGCTGTGTGGCTGTGCAGAATGCAATGCAACCATTGGACCTTAACTCAAGAAGAAGGTCTGTCTCTATAGCTTTGTTGTCAGAGACCTTCATTGACGAATAAAAAAAACAAACAGCGATAAGGACAAACTGTGACTGGTTACATTTGCGCTGAAAAATAACCTTAACGCCACTTGAATCTCATTACTTTTATTTACTAGTTTTGCAAAACAAAACATGCAAAACAAGGCCCAGGTTCAAAAATACCAGAAATCCCTTTCAGGACTCTCAAGTCAGCTGTGATACACTTGCAGCGCTCATACAGCCATAACCTTGAGCTGTCCTTCTACCTGCTACCCGCCATGTGATTTGTCATGTATGTGTGAGAAAGAACAGCACAGCCCCTCAGCATACTAATCTAAATATGCCCTGCCCTGTCACATCTTCACATTGCTTTTTGCATTTCCCTTCATCTCTCTGTATTTGGCCTGTTTCCCCACTTTTTCTTGTATTTCAGGTTACTCTCCTTTCACAAGCTTTCCCTCTAAGGCTGTGGCCGCCAACCCAGTCTCTGACCTCTCCTCTCCTCTTGACTTAGGTAACTGCCTCCTTTCGTGTTCTTGATCATTTCACACTCCACATGCTCTGCGGTTCATTAAATCCTCTCTTTACCTACAGGCTGCACTCTTGCTGCCATGTCCTTCTCTGAGTGTACAATAAAAAAAGTCTTAAAGAGTCAGTGACTTTTAAAAGTTATACACTTTTTATTACCAAACTTTTTTGTTATTTATTACATCCTTTTTGTTAGTGTGAAATAGAAGTTGCTATTTCAGTCTCTGCATCTTCTGGTCATATTTGTTTCTATTTGTTCATTTGACTCACACAGTCAGTGTCCAGTAGGAAAGTTGCAATGGGAAATAACTTTTTTAACACCCTACTACTCCACTGACAGTGAAACATCAACCTGGCAGAGTTGGCCTAGATTAAGCCTCCTCATTTGCAGCTCCCTAAACCTGTCACAGTTGTCTGATTGCCTTTTTAGTAATAACTGACCCTCTTGGCACAAGTCTTTGCTAGGATGGTGTCAGTATGTAGTCAGTGCTCCCCCAAACCCCCAAAGGTTTAGTCCAGGAAATGTGATCAGTTGTCTTGAATAATTTGTTAGGGCACCCTACTTGCCTCAAGTCTTGTTTTGCTTTTTGAAATATTTGTTTTCAATTGGAAGACTGATATTAAATTAACATCAAAATATTTAATCCTAGATAACGTTTTATTTTTTGCAGACATGTGTGTAATTTCTTCTGTATTTCAGGTCCTGTCAGGGGTCCTCCTGTTTCTGGAGCCCCTCCAGTCTCGGCTCCTCAACAGTATAATCAGTACAGTCACAGTCAAGGGGAAATGCAGAATGGACCCCCTCCTATGACACAAGCCCCTCCCAGGTAAATTCATGTGGGCTGATTGCTATAAACATATATGTAATAAGGTAAATGGGTTTTAAAGCATTGGTTTTTGGAAGCACAGGTACTTTTATTATTCCCGGTATCTTCGCTCGTAGCAGGTTATTGAAATTCTGCAGCTTCAGCTCATTCCCGCAGGTTACAGAATCCATATTGACATTTTAAACAACCGCTGGAAAAAAAAAACTGACACCAAAAAACTTGGGGCTGCTCAAAAAAGACTGTCATGTGGGGACGCCAGATGGCCTGGCAGTTGTGTCGCGCGCCCCATGTGCAGAAGCAGCGGCCGTGGGTTCAGGTCCGGCCTCGGCCCTTTGCTGCATGTCGTCCCACACGCTCTCCTTCAGACATTTCTTATCTCTCGTCAGCTGTCCTATCTATGAAGGCAAAAGAACCCAAAAAATAACTTTAAAATAGAGACTGTCATGTGGTTAGTTTGTAAAGAAAGAAGACTCAAAACCAGCAAAGGAAAGGGATTTCAAAGGCACACTGAGTGTGATGTGTGATAAGAGATGAATTATTATTTGTAACAGACAGCAGTTGCTCGTGATTGAAATGCCTGGCATTGAAAATGAAGTGACAGAAAAACTGGAGCTTGCTGACACTTGCTGCTGGTAATAAGGTTGATTTTTTTTCTCCATGTGCTGGCATTGAACTTGAGATAAGACTAGTCAGTGCAAAGACTGCACTGGGAAAAAGTCTTGATGTTTTAACCATGAATGGATACAAGTCCCTTTTTGCTAGTTAAATTAGATGCACCTTTAATGAGTCAGCAAGGCCTATCCAGCAATTGAAAGAAGGTTCCCTCTTTTGAAAACACTAAAATACATAACCTTTTTTATATTAGGTTCCTGTTATTTGTTAATATAAGGTTGGTTTATAGATAAGGCCTAACTTTGCCTTGTTCTAGTGTCCCATACACAGAGGCTTTTCCTGCCCAACCTCCCAAATGTTTCTCTTCACCTTTTCCCACGTTTCTGATTTTTTGAAAACACTCATCAGCAGCAAATTTTATAGAGACGCAAAAACAGCAACTTGAGTTTTGACATTTCATAAAGTGTTGAGTGAAACCCAACATTTAATCTGTGTGTAGACCAGGCTTGCTAGCGGCTTAGTGTATCGTAATAATCTACAACTAAAACAGTGCAGAATGACATCGTCGGTGACCAGCTGCCCAAAAGACTGAGACGTTGCACATCAGTCAATGCATTTACAGCTCAGACATACTGAAAGCTCTCTCTCTGCTCACCTGCAGAGCTTGTGTCAGGCACTATTTGCAACACATCCAGAGCGACGGGAGATCATTTGGTTATTTATTTATACCAGTTGGCGATCTTATACAGATCTTTAAAAAAAAAAAAAATGGTAAAAATGGTTGGTACATTTTCTTACCCATCATGCCTTGGTATCTTGTATATTTGGGAAACCTTGCACTGTAGCAGCTGCAGTTGATGTGCTCCCCATGATGTATTCTGTGGAGTGTGACCACTCGAGCATCAGAATCTGAAGGTAACATATGATGAGAGGGAAGGAGTGGTAATGTTGATGCAAAAATAATAAGATTGTGCATAAGTACCAAATCTCAAGTCTGAGTAGAGTCTCAAGTCTTTAATGGGAAAGTCAAAGTAAAGTCTCGTGTTACATTTGTGTGTGACTCAGGTCCAAGTCTGAAACTTGAGACCCCATCTCTTGATTGAAAAATATCATACTAGGTCTACTGCAAAACACTCACTGCCAGCATCAACACACTGCTAGGTGTAGGTGACTTCAGAGTTCCTTTTTATTTCTTCAAATATATTGTTTTGATTTTGAGCCCAAGTTGAAGTTCACTGAGTTTCTTCTTGTTAATCATTGTCTTTATGAGCCCTGAAGAAACCACATAAACATGCACCATTTAAGTTACTAGATTCCTTTTCTGACCTCAACCGATCTTGGAAGCATGAGCAAATTATATTACACGTCATGTTTTTTTCCCCCTATCCAATTTATGAATCTAGGTTTCTTGTTAACTTGGCGTATTAAACACACTCTTACATTAACCCGGTAACGTCACTCAATGTAAACTGAGAGATTTGTTTGTTTTCAGGCCTGCTGTGTCTCAGTCATACAACCCTGCAGGGATGAACATGACAGGGCCCCCTCACCCCTCTTATCCTCAGCACTATGGGCCTCCTCCCACAATGCAGCAGGTCACCAACCAGATGACTGGGATGCAGATCAACTCTGGACCACCGACCCCTGCAGGACCGGGATATGGTGAATAAGAATGAAGGGTTATACTTCAGTGTTCATTCATTCTTTTTTTTTTCATAGATTTTAATCACTCTTTTTTTTCTCTCTCTCCTCAGCTCCCCCTAACAGCTCTCAGCCTCCTGTTAGCACCGCCTACACTGCTGCACCTCCAACTTCCTACGCCCAGGGCCCTCCCCCTGCATCCTCTGCCCCCACCCAGCCACCACCTCCCAGTGGTCCTGCAGCTCCTCAGCAATACTATGGAGGCCCTTCACCTCCTTCTCAACAGCCATTCAACTCTTCTCTCCCCCCTACCTCTCAGCAGCAGTTCACTCCAGCACCTCCTCCCTCCCAACAAACCTTCCCTCCCTCCTCCTACTCAGGTCCCATGCCTCCAGCCAGCCAAGCTCCCGCTCCACCTGTCTCCCAGCCACAGCAGTCCTTCCCACCTCCAGCCCAGCCCACCTTCTCCGCACCTCCTGCCAGCCAGCCCCCGGCCTTCGCCCCTGGCCCGCCTCTCCAAAACCAGGGCTCCTTCCCACCGAGAGGACCACCTCCATCCTCTCAACCGGGGTCTTTCCCTCCTCCTGGCCCTCCCCCAACTTCCCTTTCATCTGGCCCATACCCCGGCCAGATGCCACCCCAACAGCATCCCCCTCCTTCCCAGCCATCTCCCTACCACTCAGGTCCACCTCCTCCCGGCGTTCAGATGCCTCCAACCTCCATGGCTCAGAGCAACCACCTGCCTCCAGGACCACCTGGCCCCCCTGGGCCCATGCAGCAGCCTCCACCTCAGCCAGGGATGCCTGGAGGATTCCCCCCTCAGCAGAATGGTGAGGAGACAACCTCTTAGTGAAAGACTAAATAATTGTTTTCTCAATCACTAAGCCCTTTTTTTGTTCTGTTCAGGTGCATTCGGGCAGGTGAGAGGTCCCCAGCCCGGCTATGCAGGCCCGTATCCCGGGCAACCAAACTACGGAGCCCCTGCACCAGCACCCGCTCCTGCTGCCCCTGCACAGAAAAGACTTGATCCAGATGCCATCCCTAGCCCGGTGAGCAGACGACCACACACAAACTTTTCTGAACCAAGTTCCCAGTTTACAACACCGCATCCATTTTTATAGAAGCCCTTATCTGTTCTCTTCAGCACAATCAAAGTGATATTATTAGGGAGGGGTGACATATTGTAAGGGGGATTGCACAATATAATGCAGATTTTGCCCTAATAATATGGTTCAATCATGTGTAGACAGGGAGGATAGAAAAGCACAAACACCTCTCCTAATATAATGTGGCCTTCTTTTTATTACCATGTTATTAAATGTATAGATTTCCAGAGATTATTAACTTTATAAAGGTGGAACTTTAAGTAGAGCTGCTTAGCATGTGTCAAACAATCTGCTGGTATATGACTCTATATCTGTCTGTGCTCGACTGTCATTGACTACAGTACCACTAATCTATGATCAATACTAATGATCAGTTTCTGTCTGAATAACAACAGCCTGCTGCTCAGCACAGTCTTGCTGAGATCTCTCTTCTCACACAACTGTTTTTTTTTTTGTTTTTTTTTTCATATTTTCACTCTTTGTATGTATTTATTTTGTCCCGTTTTGGACAAAATGCTGGACAAACTTTTGAATGTAAAGCAAGCGTCTGACATGCCGGCTGTGCAGAAATCAAGACATAGAATAGACCCAGACGCTATCCCCAGCCCAGTAAGTGTCCTGTGTGCCTGCCTTCTCCACCTTGTCCTCTCCGTCTGCTTGCACTAACATCCTCCACCACCTGTCCTTTCACACCCCCCCCACCCCTCACAGTCACAGTGTGGTAGACAGACCCCTGTTGGAAATAGACTTAGTCTCTTAGACTTATGTTTAACTTCAGTGTAAGGGTCAGTCACAGGATTCTTGTGGGGTTTTACTATAACCTTCATAATGCCTTTAAGATTCAAGTCTCCCCGATTAGCAGTGATCAGAATGAAATAAAAACTGTATTAGAAAATGGAAAAATAAGGCACAGATAGTAAGTTGACTAAAACAGATGTGACTGAAACAGGTGTGTGGATGACTTAACTAGATTAAGAACATAAATGAACAGGTAATAAAGCAGAAAATGGTTTACTCAGAGATACAGTCATTTGTTATAAATCTGTAACTTATGGAGGTCTGTAGCTGATCGAGCTTATTGACAAAACAACAAAAATCTACTCACCGTGCTCCCATCCAAAATACTGTAAATATACCGTGATACTTTCCATCAGAGATACATTTTGTTATCTAGTGTTTTTCAGCAGCACTGTAGATCTAACAGCTGCTAGCTAAATTAGCTTTTAGTTAATAAAATTAATTAATAAGAATAGCTGCTGCTACCCTGTCTGCTTTTTTTTATAGGTAAGAAATGATGCAGCTCCTACGGCTCATCCATAACATGTTGTACCTCATTTGTTTTAACAGTGCAAAAACCTATGGGCATAAACACCTGACTATTTCTTTGTAAGGAACAGTATCTTGCGAAAGCCTCCATTAGTTTCCTACAGTACCATTATCATATCTGTCTGCAGGAAAGCAAATATTTCAAAAAAATGTCAAACAAATCCCCATTGAACGGGTTTGTTAGTTTTCTGCTTTATATGCACTGTAATCAATAATGATCCCTACTACCTCACCTTCATCCCATTGTTTTCTTTGTGTTTGAAGAAGCAGCATACTGAAGTCTGACATTTTCCTTCGCCCCGTCTCTCTCTGTTTCCTGCATGCTACTGTGCACTGTTTGGACTTCCTTTCATTAACAGCATGATGTAATAACCCTGCCTTTTTTTCCTCAGGGATGTCATTTAGTTTTGCCTTGAAAGTCAGTTTGTCATATTTGTACAACCAACATCTGCATACGCATGCACCATATCAAACATGGCTCATTTCAAAAGTTCTTTATCCTCAGACGTTGATGGGTTCCATTGTGTGTTTAGTAGCTCAACATGTGTGTAGGGGTTGTGTGAAAGCCGTCTCCTGCATGGGTTTAAATGTTCCTTCTTTTTTTTTTTAGCCTGTGTGAGACCCTGGGACAATGTGTCATCATGTGCACTTCACATGTGTGTCTTTCTGTTGTAAACATGTATGAAAGATGTGACATTGTTGTCCCCTTCTCTCCATATTAGATCCAGGTAATAGAGGACGACAGGGCTAAGAGCACGGAGCCATTCACAACAGGGGTCAGAGGTCAGGCCCCACCGCTGGTCACCACCAACTTCCAGGTCAAAGACCAAGGTAGGCCCTTCTTGAGGAAGTAACATTAAATGACTCTTTCCAAAAGAGGGTTCAGGAAATTAGCGTTCTTAATTTCTCCAAGGTTTTTCTCTGGAACGGTATGAAAAGATCGACTAACTACCAATTTCCACTTAGTCCACGGAGAGCAGCCATAAGTAGCTGTACACACATCACAGGAGAACTACAAGAGGCATACCTGGTCTTTCTGAGGTTGATTTGGTGCTCCATGGGTCTCTGTTTTGATGTTATGTTGATAGAGTGATGGGAAATACGATCTAAAGTCTGTAAATTGTGTTTTTTGTTTTTTTTTTCAAAAGTGACTGGATGATCTGTGCATTTCTTCGTCTGACTTCCAGTCCGGGCCGTTCTATTCTGTCCATCTTGATGCATGTTGCGTTGAAAAAATTAACTTGCATCGTATTTGAAACGGAGCAGAGCGTAGTGGCGCTGCTGGCACGTGCTAGAGATGGGCCGTGGCGTTCGCTGTGGAAACAGGAGCATTGACTAGAGTGGCAGTGAACTGCGGCGTTACAGACCGCGGCGCTGACGGAGTATTTGGAGATTGGCAGTTAAGAACAACCCCTAAAAGTGAAGCCAAAATATTTAGAGCTCCCCCTACTGACTGGTTGCAGTATATGTTGGCCTCCCCCATGTTAACAGATGGGACATGGGGCAAACTTTGAAATCAAAATACACGTCGACTACAGGAAACCTAACAAACACTTGGGTGCAAGAATCTTTGAACTCTCCATAACCTTGAATGTCGGCTTCAAACTGACACAAGAATCAGTTCTGCTGCAGCGACCTGAATGATCTTTGCTGTTTTATTGTTAAGTTTAATGTTTTCTTTGGTGAGCAGAAGGGGCTTCACCTCAATTCTGAGCAATGTCTTGGCTCCAAATGACTTCAACAGCACAATATGTCAGCACACGTCGAGGAGTTATTTTATCGTTCCAGTTTTTTTACAATTAAAGGGGATGGAATTGAATCGTCGATAATTGTCTACAGTCAATGGTTTTACTTTCTATAATTTAAGGCCTGGTGAATTTTCAATCTGATGAAGGGTATGTGTTACCTGTGTAAAGATTGTAATATTAATAGAGTCTGTGTTTGTGTTTAGGGAATGCCAGTCCCAGGTTTATACGCTGTACGGCCTATAACATACCTTGCACAGCCGACATGGCCAAGCAGTCTCAGGTGCCGCTGGCTGCTGTCATCAAGCCCCTCGCCACGCTGCCGCCAGACGAGGTAAGCGATGCCCCCCTCCTCTTTCCACTCCCTCCTGTCTCTCCTGTAAGCCCTGTTTACTCTGAGCGCTTTCCTTCTGTCTGATCGGACCTTTATGACACCAAATCCTTTGAGAGTTAACATTTTTTGTTGGAAAGCCAACAGGAGGACAAAGAAAGATTACGTTTTGACGTCATGCAAAATACTTACTGGTAATATATACAATATCCAATCGCCTCCACTTCCCGAGCCAAAGCCTTTGGTTGACAGATGGTGGAATAAGCTTCCAGTGAAAGGAGCTGTCTATCAAATATTTATAGCATGTTATCTTTGAGAATCTGGCAAAAACTTTCCTATTATTAATAAGTACAATATCAGAAAGTCAGTGTTACTGCCTTATTAATGTTTTAGTCATTTGTCAAGCCGTAAAAGCTCAATGGTTCATGTTTTTAGGTTTTCAAATGTGAGAACTTGATTCTGTTCTTCATCATGTTGAATAGTAAACAGAAAGTTCAAAAGTGTTCAAATGTTTTGTTTTAAATCACAAACAGCAATAAGCACAAACATATTCCGTGATAAACTGTACGAGGGCTTTATTAGATTATCAATCAAACTTTATTGGTGAAGCACTTTTCATAGATATGTAGCACAAAGTGCTTTACAGCAAAATAAATCAAACAGCATTAACATGAATCCCAACCCCACCCCCACCCCACAACCCATAAACAAGGTGAGAAAGAAAGAGATAACCACAGGTCCTTCGATGTATTTTCTATGCAGCAATTTCCCTGTATCCGAGACAAATTTCTCCCTAGGGAGACGAATAAAGAAACCTTGACCTTGAGGTCCTGCAAATGGAGGGAACGCTATCATGGATTCTTAATGACGAAACACAGGAGGTTAAAGGGTTCAAATTCAAGATTGTAAATAATATAATAATAAAATGAGAAGAAAAAAAAGTTTAAAGACCAAATAAAGGCTGCAAATAATAATTATTATCACTATGTGTCGTTTTAATACACTGAAATAATCTATAAAACTTCATAAAAATGTGAAATATATTGATCACATTTTTCAGAGTACAAAGTGATGTCAAAGATTACAATGACAAGCAGAAAGTTTCTGTAGCTGTAAACACTGAAAATGTCCTTTTGGTGGGATCAGTAAATGTTTATTTTACCTTTATCTAATCTCATCTCAGAAACAATGAATTATCTTTCAGTCATCTCATCTCACTGGAGGGTTGTAGCCCTACCGATGTGGAAAACGATGTTTGTGTCATTCTGACTTCCTGTTTGTATTTCTGTCTCTTCACCTGTATGTTCCAGAGTGCAGTCAGTAAGCAGTCGGGAGGTTTCAGGGCTAAAGCCTGATATGTAGTCTTTATCAGCGGATGTTATGTAATGTGGGATTATCTCTCTCAGATTCACTGAGGTGGGAGTGGCTTTATGACCTTGTTTCACTCACGCTACATGTGTGACACATATCCATCTGGACCAGTTGTACATGTTGTCCCTTTGAACAACGTTTGATGACAGAGGGTGTAAATATTTACTGCAGTTTCACTCACATCACATCCTGTTTCAGTAAATCCATTCACATTAGGATTTTTTAGATGAAGCCAAATCTGTGTGCCCTCCTCAGAACTCCAGATTATTCCATCAGAATGATTTTAATCCGTTCATTGCATTTCTTGTCAGATCCCCCCGTACTTGGTGGACCACGGCGAGAGTGGTCCGATCCGCTGCAACAGGTGCAAGGCGTACATGTGTCCCTACATGCAGTTCATCGAGGGAGGTCGCCGATTCCAGTGTGGCTTTTGCAGCTGCGTCACAGAGGGTGAGTAAGGGCCTTCTCTCCAGAACTACACACTCCTCCACAGTGTTGTAGACTCTTTTCAGAGTCGCACAAACTTTTTAAAGATGCACCCTTTATTAAGATGCACGGCAATAAAAGTATGCCAACCAGCATTGGGGTAGACATCCTTCACTCTGGAGAAGAAGGGAACGTTCAGTCAGCATGGTTTCATGTCACACTCATAATAACAGCTTCTATCTATGACAGAGAGACTCATTAAAGTCCCCATGAAACTGACCTTTGAGAGTATCTAACTGCCGTGTTGTACTGCCAGCTGAAACGGGATCTAACAATCACAAGATGGAAGGGGGGAATTTGATTGGGTCATTAGTATCAACAAATCTTTTATTTGGTAAGCAAATCAATAAACAATCCTGATTGCAGGATGAGTAATGAGATATTTGAATTGTTAACAGGAAGTGAAAGTATGTGCTTGAGCACTGATTGGAGCACTCACTCACACTAGTCAAACAAACTGGACGTTGAGGGTGAAGCGTGCAGGGGGACGGTACAGATGGCCTAGTGTGAGTGCGCCTTAAGTCAGCAGAGGTGCAGACTAGCTTTAGGCATGGCAGTGAAAGGGAGAGTTTACAGGGGTGGCTTTAGGAGGTCTCAAAGGGTCTGCCTTGATTTATTGAATTAGATTTTCCAAATTAATGAATTGTACTGATGATACCTGGTCGTTTCCCCGCAGTGCCTCCACATTACTTCCAGCATCTGGACCACACCGGGAAGAGGATGGACTGTTACGACAGGCCGGAGCTTTCGCTGGGCAGCTATGAGTTCTGGCGACTGTCGACTACTGTAAGGTGAGTTAAAAAAAAAAAAAGAGCTGTGTCCTGCCGTAAACAAACAACTTCAATTATTGTTTTAAGAGCTCTGTTTGGAAGATTGTAATGTCTTCTAAATTCCCCCGGTACGGAGTCTGATGCCGTTTATGTATCCATGAATCCCTTCAGTGATGTGCAAAAATACTTCAGTGTAATAGAAGCTTGAAACATGAATGTTAGTAGAAGTCAGAATGATACAATAATGAACACATCACAACAATCTACAGAAGAAAAGCCATTCTTTGCACCTAATTATTCTGTAAGCTAATACAAGCCGAGCCTGTAGGATGCTCAGTGGAGTCTCGCTGAAATCGTTTTTTTCTTAATTAATGGGTATTAGATGTAAACGATTGTCTGCAGGGTTTACACTCTGTTATCTATATAGGTAAGACCTTTTTGGGGGTGTTAAAAGTGAGCTCATAAAGCAGTTCACCATATATGTTCACCACACAAAGATGAGATTAATATACCAACCTGTAAACCAGTGAATTTGTACTGTAAATATTACCTCAAGCACTTTTCACTCCTTTGCACTCCTGGAAGTTTCTAGAATTTTTTTAAGGCCAGTCTGCCAGTGGGCCCTGAAATCTTCCTGAGTTGCTCTTTCACATATCTGTCAGCTGTGGGTGTGTGGGAATGTCTCAGTAGGCCACACACAACATAAAAAGGAACAGTAGAAACGAAACAGCGGGAAAGAACACACTGATGAACAGAGAAGAGTGAGAAGTTACGCACACACAAAGATCGAGCCGGTCGTAGCACCAGTCCCAGGATCTAAATGGCATCACGCTCGCCTACTTGTTTGTGATGAGTGTTTCCTGCTTCACATATTTGCTCAGCTGCTTGCTGAAATATTACAAAGGGACAAGGAAGGAAAAGTCCGGGTAAAGACATTTATGAAAGTGACCTAGTGACAAAAATCCAAGAGCAGATTTTAGTTTGACTCCTATGCTTTTATTCGTTTCATACTTGGATTTAATTTTTATTTTTTTTTATTTTTTATCTATCATTCCAGATAAAGGCCTTTACATGTGACTTCATCCATTATCTTTGCTTGTATTTAACAGAATAACAAGCTCCCTCAGCCTCCAGCCTTCATCTTCCTCATCGACGTGTCCTACAACGCTGTGAAGAGCGGGATGGTCAACATCGTGTGCGAGGAACTCAAGACCCTTCTCGACTACCTGCCGAGGTACTCCAACATAAAATACAATATAGGGATGGGTAGGAGGAAATTATATTAGATAGGAAGAGTTCAGGAAGTAAAGGAGAGAGAGAGAAAGTGAAAAGTGAAGGATAGAAACATGCAGCTGAGACAGAAAGTGAGGATGAAGAAGATAAAACAAAGCCATGACAAAGGAGATTTAAATTGCATAGTTGTTGGTTTTCATGCTTACTTCATGTAATTAAATGCAAACTTGAACACTGTGTTTCTGTGCTCAGGGAAAACCCAGAAATGGACTCTGTGGTGCGTGTTGGTTTCGTCACCTACAACAAGGTGATGCATTTCTACAACGTGAAGTCGAGCTTGGCCCAGCCTCAGATGTTGGTGGTCTCAGACGTGTCAGACATGTTCGTACCGCTGCTCGACGGCTTCCTGGTCAACGTGAATGAGAGCCGGCAAGTTATCGAGAGGTGAGGAGGCGTAAACCAACTGCTTATACACACACATACACACACACGCGATTACAGAAACATATGGAGTCTAAGGACGAACACATTGATGCCATTTGTGTTTTCCAGTTTGCTGGACCAGATTCCAGAGATGTTTGCAGACACCAGGGAGACAGAGACGGTCTTTGGACCTGTCATCCAGGCGGGACTCGAAGCACTCAAGGTAAAAAAAATAAATAAAATTGGTTGGATTTCGAAAGTCTGATTGGGTTTTTGAATTAAAAGCTCCTTCTCAGTGTAGCAAACATACTGAGAAAACAGTCAATCTAAACACGTGTGGAAAAGACTGAGCAGATTGTCTCTAAAACGTACAGAGACTCTTTTCTCCTTTGTCTGTTCAGTGGAGCTGACATGCCTGATGATTTGTTTGTTTGTCACTTCCTCAGGCTGCAGACTGCGCAGGAAAGCTCTTTGTGTTTCACACGTCTCTGCCCATCGCAGAAGCTCCCGGAAAACTAAAGAACAGAGAAGATAAGAAGCTGATTGGGACAGATAAAGAGAAGGTAAACACAAGTGTGGAAACGTTTAACAACATAAATTAGTTGTAGTGGTTTCAGTAGGTTTTGCATGTCGCTGCTTCAAGAAGTCTCCACACCGACTCCTCTTCTTCTCTGGTCTCCCTCAGTCTCTGTTTCAGCCCCAAGTGGGTTTCTACAACACTCTGGCTAAGGAGTGTGTAGCTCAAGGCTGCTGTGTGGATCTCTTCCTCTTCCCCAACGGGTATGTTGACGTTGCTACGTTAGGGGTGGTTCCTGTCTCCACCGGAGGCTCTGTCTACAAATACACATACTTCCAGGTGAGAGAGAATCTTTTACTCTGAGGTGTGTCCCGCTGTGATCATGTTTAAAATACCAGCTGGGAAACAACTTTCCTGTGTAACACATTGTGTGTTCTTTACCTCAGGCTCAGTCGGACAGGGAGCGATTCCTGAACGACCTCAGACGAGATGTTCAGAAACTCGTTGGCTTTGACGCCGTCATGAGGGTGCGGACAAGCACAGGTACGGATTATTATATTATATAATATATTGAAAAGATTTAAAAAAGAAAGAAATCTGTTTGGTCAAGAACAAAGATACAAATGGCTTCATGATCTGCCTCTTTCTTTCTCTGTCTCGGCCCCCCCCCCCCCTCCCCCCCTCAGGTGTCCGAGCGACAGACTTCTTCGGCTCCTTCTTCATGAGTAACACCACAGATGTGGAGCTGGCGGGCCTGGACTGTGACAAGGCCATCACTGTGGAGCTCAAACACGACGACAAGCTCAGCGAGGAGACGGGGGCTCTCATGCAGGTGGGTGCAACAATATCCTTTAAGGAAAAGCATTTTTAAGAAAGGAATACATTTAATGTGTATTTTTTACCAGGTTATTACCAAAGTACTGCTGTTTCATGTCCTACACGGTGCTGTTGATAGTTGGAGTCACATAATCTTACATCTCAGGCATCGAGTCCATCAGTCTGTTGATCTGGCATTCAATTTTATTTAGACTTCAGCATGACTATGATACTAAATGAGCTCTAGGGGACCTGTGATTTTAGGATTAGGGTTAGGATTGACATTTAAAGACGGAGACACATCTGAAAAGTCACACAAGATGATGCACTGTATTTTTGAGTATTAGTGTAATAAAATTAAAATGTCTGAGTGCTCACCATATTTTTGTGGATGCAGTGCCATCTATCCTGGAAATCTTGATGTAAAGCTCGAATCCATACGTGATACATTTAGTAAAATTCGAAAAGCAGAATGTAAATAATGCCTGAGCCGGTTAATTTGTAAGAAAAGCTGGTCTTTGTTTCCCCCACAGTGCGCCGTGCTGTACACCAGCTGCAGCGGCCAGAGGCGTCTCCGCGTCCACAACATGGCGGTCAACTGCTGCTCTCAGCTGGCTGACCTCTACCGCAACTGTGAGACCGACACAATCATCAACTTCTTCTCTAAATATGGTGAGGAGCAGCTCGCAGAATATCGTCAGTACCTGTTTGAAAGTGTTCACACGTTGCACACAATCAGCACTCTAAAAGGCTTCATCAGGTGTTAGCGAGGAGAAATGTACGACTAACATTTTCTAAAAATGTGAGAAGGTAACCCTCAGCTGCTCATGGGGAGCAGTAGAACGCTGCAGCTGTGTTTTCTTCTTGGTCGGAATGTACTGCACTTGTGATAGGGCTTTCTAACTCAGAAACCTCCTAAAAACTCCTCATGTTTTAAGGAGGATCTGTGTGTATGAACACAAAAAGTTTTTCCCTCTGACTTCCTGAATTTCTCCTGCCAGCCCCCTAGTATTTTTTCCACATAAAATAGGAAGACTGCTCATGTGAGGAGCGGCAGGATCATCGAGCCAGCGGGAGACAGTGGTGACGTTTATATCCTGTGACAGGTTCACATTGCACAGACTGTATGCACGCGACCGCTACGATCTCCCTGCACGTTTTTAATCTGCTGCATTACTTTTTCTGTTCTCCATTATGTTCCTTCTCCACTCTCTGGTTGATTTTCTGATTTTGTTCACTGCGCATAGCATTGATATAAAGGCAGACATTGACATTATAGCGTCGTACATAGGACTCTGTTGCGTCAAGTCTTACACCAGCTTAAGTTTGAAGGCGAGCTTGTCACTCGCTCACTCTATGCGGTAAAGAAAAGTTACAGCTAATACATTGCAAATACGTTGCTTTTCAAAATTCAGATTCAGGTGTAACTTATTTTCTTTCAGTGTCAAACACGCATTCATTCCTGGTTAATTTAACATTCGTGGATCGCCCCCTCATAAGTATACGTGTGTGTGTTGCAGCCTTCCGTGGCATCCTGAACAGCCCCACCAAGGCGGTGAGAGACACTCTGATCAACCAGTGTGCTCAGATTCTGGCCTGCTACAGAAAGAACTGCGCAAGCCCCTCGTCAGCTGGTCAGGTACTGAAAAGATTCACCACTCTGTAGTTAGTGCAGATCACATCACATCCTCAAGTGGTTATCACACCACTTGAGTTTCTTGGCATTCAGTATGATGACATGCCATGACATTTGCAGATTTTCTCAAACTTGTATTTACTCTCAGAGATTTGTAAAATTAGTTAATTTCATGAGACAATAACATATATGAAATGAAGGAATAAACAACAGGGTATTGGAGTGTCTGACATTACACCTGTGTGTTTTTCCAGCTGATCCTCCCAGAGTGCATGAAGCTGCTGCCCGTTTATCTGAACTGTGTGCTGAAGGGCGACGTGCTGCTGCCGGGCGCCGACGTCTCGCTGGACGACCGGGCGTACCTGAGGCAGCTCATCAGCTGCATGGACGTCTCAGAGAGCCACGTCTTCTTCTATCCTCGCCTGCTGCCACTGGTGAGACCAAACACACGCACACACACACACACACACACACACACACACACACACACACACCTCATTCCTGTATGTGAGGAGGAGCGCGTGTAAGGCAGCTCTTTTTAAACTTCTGTGATCATACAGGAAGCGAGTCTCATATTTGTTTTGTAAAATACGTCTTTGCTGCTCTCTTACTCAACATGATAATAGTGTTATTCATTTTACTTTCTTAGGTCACCTGCATAAATCTGCAAAATCACGCTCTAATGGTGCAAAGAAACAGCTGGTTTTTTACGTTATTACGCTTAAGATTTGGATTACAGAACATTTAATCTTTTCATTGGATGAACATAAAGCAGTAAAAGCACTATTCCGTCATTTGATGGCATCGCTTATATTCATCGATCATCGTTTCTTTCTCTTTCCACCCTCCAGACGAAGTTGGAAAGCGACTCGTTGCCGGTTGCGGTGCGAGACTCGGAGGAGCGGCTGTCTAAAGGCGGAGTTTACCTTCTGGAGACAGGACTCCACCTCTTCCTGTGGGTGGGCGCCAGCGTTCAGCAGGAGCTGCTGCTCAACATCTTCGGCACGCCGAGCTTCAGCCAGATAGATCCGAGCATGGTGAGGGAACGCATCACCTCCTGTGTTGTGTTTGATGAAGGCGGCAGACAACTATTTTGTGTTAACACAACACATTTCTTTCATTGTCTTTTAAATGTCGTTTCTCTTTGTGCTCTAATCATTTCTTGTAATTTTATAGATCCACAAAAAAAAAACTTTGAGTACATCTTTGTTGACACAGTACCAAAGGGTTTTATGATCATATTCTTGGTTTGAATGACAATGAAATTAAATATTTACATGACGATTACCATGTCTATTCCACCCAGCTCTGTTTCACTTCCTGAATGTCACTGTCGTGTGTTTCAGACGAGCCTGCCAGTGCTGGACAACCCGTTCTCCCAGAGACTCCGAGAGATCATCGACTCCTTCCGAGCTGAACGATCACGATACATGAAGGTAAACTTTATTCTGCTCCTATTACAAGTCTGAAGGTACAGACACTTTGTGGGCCTCTGAACAAAACTAGACTTGACACATTGCTTTGACGACTCCCCTTTCTTCATTGAAACAAAAGATACATCAGTGTCAATACAAAGCTGAGGAACATGGCGTTGGTCAATAGAAAACGCACTGGATTTGAACATAATTCACTTTGTACTTTATTTCAGACCCATAGGTCCATATCATATACTGTGAAATCCGGTGTAAAAGACACACTCTTAATACAGAGAACTCTCTCATACGTTCTTTTCTCTTTTTAAACCAAAGCAAGCTTTTAGAAAACATAGAAAAGGAAATACGAAGCAGAAAGAAATAACTAAGGACAAGAGGCGTTGTCATCCTCTACACATGGTTCACAAATTCCAATCTGTGGAAACAGATGCGCCCTCCAATATTTTTTCTGAAGCCTGTACACAGAGAACATAGCTACCTTACACTCCGAATCAGTCAAATAACATTATAGAGTTAAGAAGACTAAAGACATGAAAAAATATGTAATAAAGTAAAAGAGACATGACAGTGTTGAACCTGTGGGAGCTTCAAAAAGTGCTGTTTTGTTTTATAACATATATAACCAAAAAAAAATGATGGTTTCATCCTCCTCCCTCTTCCTGCATGCTCTCTGTTTCTCACTCGCTCTCTCCTCTGGTTGCAGCTGATGGTGGTGAAACAGGAAGACAAAACCGAGCTGATATTCAGACACTTCCTGGTCGAGGACAAGAGCGCCAGCGGGGGAGCGTCATACGTGGACTTCTTGTGTCACATGCACAAGGAGATCCGCCAGCTTCTCAGCTAGGCCGACAGAGTCCAAACCTTCACCTTAATGACATCCCCCCCACCCCGCCCACTCCCACCCAAACAAACCCGCCTCACCAAGTTCACCTTCCCTGTGAGAGAAAGCGCTTTATCTTTTTTTTTTTTTTTTTTTAACCTAATATGCTAAAGCTCTCCTCCCGTCTTTCAGCTGAGCATCAGAGGCCAGCTGGCAGATTCCATCGTGTTTGTGTGAATGTGTGTGTGAGAGATGGAGAGTCTGATGATAATAGAGCTTTACTCTGCCTCAATCTACTGCTCCAACACAGCAGGAGCGAAATAACTGACGAGGAAGGGTAATGTATATACACAAGTGAACAATAATGTATGCAACAGACTGAGTGATTGACGGGGACGGCTGGTGTTGACTGTAGTCGGTGTACTGTCTGTATTACGAGCACTGAAAGGCTTTTCTGGGCGCATAAACGACCCTCAGATAGCAAACACTTTTTATATGATTGAATCCCAATAGAGTGAAGGACACCTGCATACCGAGACATACATGGAATTAAATAAATGCTGTTATTTTCTGTCTATTTTCTCCTTTTTAATCATGGCCTTAGTACCCCCTCCCCACGCTGCTCCAATCATCCATAAAAGTGTGTGTATGTATGTGTGTGTGTTTACAAACGGGAGAGGATAAGTCACTCAGTCCTTATTTACCAGTGTGTCTCCAGGTGTGAGCATACATTTGGATGCTCACACCTGGGTCTGATGACTTTTCACCTGCAGGAAGCATCAAAGAAGTGTCGTGAAATGTATGAAATGTGGTTTTATCACCCACAAATAAACAGAAAAAGTGAAGGTTTCACGATCATGACAGTGATTGATGTGATCCGTATTTGTTTAAAAACAGGCTCTGTTGAGTTTTTTTTTTGTTCTCCGTGCTCAAACGTTAAAGCACTTACGATCCAGATGTGCATGTTATGAGAGGAAGCTTTCATTAGATCAAAGTCTATGCAGCAACAAGAGAGACCAGAAACAACACAAATAAAGAATCAAAGAAATCCAAGACAGGTGTGAACTTTTGATTTCAGCATCAAAGCGATGGAAATCCCTCTGGATAGTGAACCTGTCGGTATGATTATGTGAAGTGCTGCAGACTTTATATAAATAATAATAATAAAAAGTTTAGATGTACAAAAAAAAAATGTTTCCAGCAGACAGAGTGAGCACAGAAGGACAGCAGATAAATGGACATGAGTTGGTGTTTGCTAATTTTCAGTTGTGTCCGCACTGGCGATCTGCTCGGTGTGTAAATAAAATATATAATCTGTACAGAATTAATAGAAAATAACGATTTTAAAGACCTGCCTGAACAGCTGTGGGTTGTTGACGGCCAGTTTCTCTGTCACAAAAAAAGTCTAAATATGAAATCACGACTTTTACTGAAGAGAGGACGACGCCTTGGCTGGCTTTTTGATATGTTTGTGTATGTGTGTGTGGTTGTGAGCGAGAGAGTGAGAACGCAAGGTATGACTGTGTGTGTGTTTGTGTGTGTGAATGTAGGGTCGGTCCTGGTGAATTTCTTCTGAGGAACAGAGGGATCAGCCAACACATACACACACACATGCACACACACTCAGTCTCTTCCCATGAGATTAAATTCAGTCTTCTTCATTTATCACTTTCTGTTCCTTTTGTAACGATATGACTTGTTTGTTTGGTGTGTGCGTGTGTTAGCCCTCTGTTCCGTCTTTACGTTCTCTGGCTGTGATTGGCCCACCTGATTGGACTGTTATCTGAATTTCCGTTTCTTTCTTTTTTTTGATTTGTGTTTTTTTTTTTTTTTCATTGCCTCTTGGGACTGCTAATAAAATGATTGTTGAAAGTGAAACTTGACACGGCTTCGCCTTTCTCTGGTAGTCTGTGTTTTCACTGTAAAAAAAGACTTTATTACAAATGATACAAACACAGATACTTAACATTCATTCTCTGCAAGAGATATGTTGTTACATAATAAGTATCACTTTTTTACGGAGCTCCTGTAGTCCAAAAAAAAAGAATAGTGTGCACAATATTTTTTTTTTTTTTGCTTTTTGGGACTTCAGGGGCGCCGTACCTTTTTTAAACATTTTTCTTTTTTTTTCTTTTAAAAAATCCATATTAATAAAAATAAAAAGAATAAAAAACGAATGAGCCAAGTGAAAAAAAGTTGCATGAAATAAGACTTAACTCTAACGCAATACAATGACGATGATAAAGGTTATACATAGTAACAATCAGCTCAATGGAGCAATTGGTTTGAACTTTAAGATAATCCATAAAAGGTTTCCATGTTTCTTCAAATTCATCAGAGGAGCCATGTTTTTTGTAAGTCACTGTTTTTTTTTTTTTTACTTAAGTGCTTAGTAACGTGTAAACTAGCTGAGGGAATGATGAGACTTCCATTGGAGAAAGATCAGCCTCATCGCTAACAGAGTAACAAATTATTGTATTTTCTCTAACTATGCCTAAAACATCTGTGGGATCAAGCTGAACTGCCATTTTGAAATCATCAGATAGTGTTTGGAGGATTGAGCTCCAAACAGTGAACAATTAGAGCAAAGCCGTTTTAACATAAAATGCATGTGTCCTTGTTATATTGAAGATCTTAATTCAAAGAGCATTCTTCATAAAAATAAGTTAAAGGAGAAAAGATAAACGTCTGTTTTACTGAACATTGAAACAGAGGAAAGGGAAGGTCCCACAGCAGCTTTTAGATTTCAGTGTAAAAGCCAACATTTTTAACAACAATGGAGCAGATTCACATTTGCAAGCTGGAGCAGTGAAGTGAATGTTCATTATTTTCATTTCATGAAAAATCATTTGAGTTTAACAGTGCTGTAATATGACCTGAGGTTGTGTAAGCTTTGCACTGATATTAAAGATCTTATTTTAAAGCAAGTACATTGAAAAATTTTTCTAAAAAGGAGAATTGAAACTTCAACTTTCCAACATTCATTTCATACAACATTATTCATACTTTTACTGAAGTAAAAAAAGAGTGCGCACGTCTCTGTTAAATTTTCTGACTCTTCAGTATCGGTTCTCCTAAATCCTTTATCTGTGGATTTCTTCCTTCTGTACAAAATTAACGTCAAAGAATAAAATCCACACTGAGGAAATACTTCAGAACATAAAACCTTTTTTAGTTTCTGGCTCATGAGCAGGGAGATAGAAAATACAACATTATGTTCCATCTTCAGGGGTTTTGTCCGAGGGTAAATGAAAGTCCAGTTAATACTTAGCACAAGTACACGACGGAGTCAACCCAACCGAGCCAAAACCCTGGGTAGACAGGCTCAGTGAAGGTGGTGTGGAAGGTGTGGAGGAGGGTCGATGTACCACAGCTGATCTTAAAGAAGGACAGCGTCCCCAAGGACCAGTCCAGATAGACTCCCACTTTCTTGAAGTTTGGAGGGATGTTTACAGCAGTGCATATGTTGTTGTGCCAGATCTTGTACCCGTCATTGGTGAAGTAAAGTCCCCAGGAACAGTCATTTTTGCCTAACCAGCTGTCCAGACCCTCTCCTTTCCTGCACATCCTTTTGTAGGCCACTCCAATGAAAGCCCTCCCACACCACTCCGTCTCCCAGTAGCAGCGTTCCGTCAGTCCCTCCTTGCACAGCACCTGTGTCCAGAAGTTGAACCTTTCTGGGTGATCGGGATATTTGTTGCTTGTCCAGCGCGTCGCTTTCCTGTTTTCCTCCTCCAGAAGAAGATCTCTGTGTGCTGTGTTTGGGTCCAGGGCGAGTCTTTTGGTATCTGAGGAGAACACCGAGAACTTCCGTCAATATTTCGTAATGCGGAAGCTCTAAGCTGTCAGGCATCCTTACATTTTATTAACTCTGTTTTCCTGTAATAACATGTCATTTCCAGGTTTTTGTCGACTTTATCCACAGCTGCTAAATCACAAAATAAACAGGAATAGGCTTAACTTAACTAAACTTAACTAAAAAATGGGAAAACTAGGTTTATTAACCCTGGGATAACGGGAAAAGTAAGTTGAGATCTCAAGAAAACAACTTTAATTAACTTGTTACTACGGAAAACCCAGAGTTATCTTAAGAAAATGAGATAAATAAGCCGAGATCTTTAGAGAAAAGACACCCAACAAATGACTCATTATCGCGTGAAAATTAAAGTAAAATAAAATTTATTGACGCATGTCTGCTTTGGGCTTCCATAATATAATATGTTATGTAGTCTCCAAGGATGACTTACATTTCTTTGGACTTGGCTGACTCCTGGATTCACCACACTCCTCCACACTGTAACAGAAACAATTGTAAAGCAGATGACTTACATTAATCACTTTGTATTTCTACAATGGTAACAACATAACTTTGAACCCTATGCCTACAACTGGGAGCCATTTTGGTTTGGTTAGCTAACATTATAGCTTGCGCACCAACCCGAATACAATTCTAGCTAGCTAACCAAGCAAAACAGAAGACAACACCACCTGAGCCTTACAGACTTCTGGAACTGATCTAGTGGTTTGGTCACTTGTTATGAACTGGTGCAATACAAATAGCCTAATGATTGATTGATTGATTGATAGTAAGCTAACATTATCAATATTGCTAGTGTTGTGGTAGCATTGTAAATTATGTAGCTAATGATTTTAGATCAAGTTGTGTAACTAACTTGATGCTGGGCCATCACATTCGGTCTCATGTATGTCACATCATGTTTTGGCCAATGACCAGCATGTTTGTCACTACAGAGTGAAAAAGGGAGCAACAACAAAATCTAAAAATGTCATGTTACGATGTGTCTTTGCAAAAAACAAATTAGGAGATTTAGTTTTTCCAACTTCATCAAAGAAAGAAGATAGAAAACATTAATGGTGCTTTCACACATGCTCAAAACTCCTAAAAACTTCAGCTTCAACTTCGCTTCGACTTTAGCCTGATTTTTTTCCTGCCGGCCCCCTAGGAAATTTTGTTGCGTGAAGCTGGGGTTAGCAAATGTGAGAACACAGCAGGAAATGTTCAGGAAAAATTCACTGAACGCAAGTGGAAGGTGTGATGAAATCTACGTGTGTGAACATAGTTTTTTTTTATTATAAAGTTTAGTCATAAAAACCCTTTTTGATCTCCTAAGTAAACTTAATAGGTCTCAGTGGTGGAAACACCAAAGTATGCAATCACCCAAAATATTGCTTTAATACCTTTACTGCAATATGCTTTTAATCATTGGCTGATATCTGTTAGTGCCAATGTATCTACAAGCTAGTTTCATGTGGCTGGCTCTAATGTCTGCACTACCGCTACCTGAGTTTCTTCAAACTGCATTGTGGGTCGGCTTCCAGAGCAGACAGCAGCTCCAGACCCGAGTTTCCTGGGTGGTTGTAGCTCAGGTCGAGCTCTCTCAGTCTGGATAAGTTCAAAGCGGATACCAAGAAAGTGCAGCCTTCTTCAGTCACTCTGCAAAGGGACAAACTATAAAACAGAAAACAAAACGTCTTCTTACAGATCTTCAAGGCATCCACAGCTACTTACTCTGCATGTTGGGCACTGCACTGTAGCACGTTGTTAAATAATTCATCTGACATGAGAATTCACTCACCTGAGTATTTCCAGTTTACAGTGAGGACTTTCCAGTCCACCAGAGAGCTTTTGGACTCCTTTATCCAGAAAGTCATTATCAGAGAGGTCCAATTCTTTCAGCTGGCAAAAAGCTGAGCTGATAACTGAGGCCAGGGGATCAGAGCTGACTTCTGTTAAGTTGCAGCTCCTCAGTCTTAAACAAATGAAAAACCGTGCTTAGACATTGTTACTAAATACATTTCTGACTTGATTAGGAAAGGATAGAAACTGTTGTGGTGAAACCTGAGTGTCTCCAGTTTGCTGTTCTTGAGTCCAAAGA